GAGTCGACGGTTTTTAGTTACAAAAATGTAGATCAGCACCTAGAATCTAGCCTGGGTGTCATCCAATTTGTAACGGGGCTCCTTGCAGTCGCTGGCCCTATTTTGTCGGGCCAGCGAGTTACAAATTACATTGGCACCCAGGCTACCAAATGTCTTGGTTTAACAGAAAATTGGTTGCAATTCTCTGTATGGCATACATAATTCCTTATGACTTATATGTACTCAAAAATACCTATAAAGCGTATTGCACTCTGTAACGCTTGAGTCGTGGCAATGTATGGCTTTCTTTTTTGTGTAGCGATTCTTTACCCTACGCTTGAAAGATATTGCAATATGCATAATGTAGCATAGTGTCTGGTCCTCGTTTAAAAATTACGACATAACATATACTTCTAACGGAAGATGCGACTGGGTTGATGTTTCAAGTGCTACATTATTTTATCAGAATGTCTGTAACATGAATTTATTTTGCAATCGTGAAAAATAACAATCTCTCAAAGAACAGGTTTTATAATGAATTAAGTGACGCAAAAGCACAGTAGCTAGTAGGTGATGAATGAATTGATGATATTGTCTCGTACTTAAACATTGCCTTGTACACAGAGTCAGGTATAGACTTTTCATATTGCTAGATCCTGAATAAATTTACTAATTTTATAAACTTTGTAATTCAGTAAGCAGCCAATAGAAATTCTATACAATGCCCACACTATATAGATGTACTTTTCTCATTAGATAAAACAAATAAAACAATTCGCAACAAGAGGCCGGGGGCCCAAAATCTAATCATTTTGAGGTCTATCAAGACCTACCTACCTACCAAGTTTATGACAATCCATCCATAACTTCTTGAGTCATCGTACTAAACCACTAGACTTCGTAGCAGGCTTATAGAACTGGGGGTTTGGTGGTCTTCGGCTGTTTTCTGATTAGCCCAGATCTTAAAAAACGGGGGTAATTTAACCATGCCGGCTATGTTGTCTATATGCAATCAGAAAATAGCACATAAAAGCTCCCAAAGACCATGAAGACCCCCCGAAACCCCCCAGTTTTTGGCATGCTATGGAGTTTACCACATGCATACATAAAAACATACATACGAACACACAAACGCTGTCATAAACATATTCTGATAATTAGTAAGTAACTGAGAAAAGGCACGAGTGTACCTACCTACCATGTCCCGGGTTGCCTTGTTGGGTGTCGTCTGATTCCTTCTGTCAGGATATACCTGCAGTATCACGTGAGAAATCACTCAGGCGGTGATTCGTTAAGACTGTAACGGTCTTGTCTCGTCTCACTGGAGTTTCTATCACACATAGACGCCGTGGGAGGGACGAGCACACACTGTGACTTGCTATTAGATTATAGCGGTGGCTTAGATATATATGGTTAGTGAAAGAAGATTTTGCTTTGTCAGTGAAGTGATAATGTTGTAGGAACATCATGATTGTCAGGACTAATAAACTCGAATTACATCTATTATCTATATAGAATATTGAACATACGCAACCTCAGTAGCATTATCGTTGTCTTGTGTATTCCTCTAGCTGGGTAACTCCCCTGGAAAATCAAACAATTTGTCAATTTCTAGCATTTACCTGCAACTTATTGGAGTCTGGTAGAGATTAGGGGAGATAGAGCACTCACACTAGAGAGCTGCACACCGTGATCTTGGCTGTCGGGACTCATTAACTCATCTTTATTATTCGCAGAGCATTGAACAAACTCCGTACCATTATCAATGTTATGTATGGTCCAGCATCTTCCAGCATTGCCTATTGGAATCTGGTAGAGATTAGGGAGATAGAGCAATCACTCAAGAGAGCCACACTCCACTTACCGTATTCTTGTGTATTCAGCCATGTTACTGCCCAGTCTAACGAATGATAGCAAAAGCTTTTTCACATTTCACACTTTGTTTATACAAGGAGCTTCCATCACATTGGTTTATACATTACATGTGTAAATCATTGTAAACATGGTTATGTCAATGAAGTGGTCATTATAGTGCTGTACGAACACTATGGTTAACCGGTTGTCAGGACTCATAAACTCATCTCTTTTGTTCGTAGTGAGCATTGAACAAACTCCGTAGCATTATCGATGTTACATGTATGTATTCTCCAGTACCTTCCAGCATTGCCTATTGGAGTCTGATCGAGACTAGGTGAGATAGAGCACCCACTCTATCACTCTGAGAGCCACAATCCACTCACATCTTGTGTATTCAGCCATGTTACTGCCCATTCTAACGAATGATAGCAAAAGCTTTTTCACATGTCACACTTTGTTTATACAAGGAGCTTCCATCACATTACATGTGTAAATCATTGTAAACATGGCTGTGTCAATGAAGTGGCCATTATAGTGCTGTACGAACACTATGGTTGTCAGGACTCATTAAATCACCTGTTTTGTTCGTAGAGCATTGAATAAACTCCGTAGCATTAGCGATGTTATGTAAACTCCAGTATCTTCCAGCATTGCATTTTGGAATCTGATAGAGGCTAGGGGAGATACAGCACTCACTCTCGAGAGCCACACTCCACTTACCGTGATATTGTGTAATCAGCCATGCTACTGCCCACCTTCTCTGGCATATTATTCTAGAGGCTAATTTCTGCTATTTTCCAGCGCAACCCATTGCCTCATTGGAATCTGGTAGAGAGGAGATAGAGCACTTACACTAGAGAGCCACAGTCCACTTACCGTGGTCTTGTGTATTCAAGCATGTTACTGCCCAGTGTGCTGGATCATAGTGGTGGCTTACATATACAATCAATCATATGTACAATATACATGTAGTATATAAACGGTAGGTAAAAGCTTTTACTGTGTCAACGAAGTGGCCATTATAGTGTTGTACGAACAGTATCACTGTCAGGACTCATAAACTCATCTCTTTTGTTCGTAGAGCATTGAACAAACTCCGTAGCATAATCATTGTCGTGTAAAAACTATTCTCCAGTATCTTCCAGCAACTTATTGGAGTCTGATCGAGACTAGGGCAGATAGAGCACTCACTCTAACACTCTAGAGAGTGACAGTCCACTCACTTGTTGTGTAATCAGCCATGTAAACGCCGGGCTGTCACTCTACCCTAACATCTCCCACCTGAACCGTGACAAACTGCTGTAACATATCAAACATCGACACTTTACGGGCAGGCACTTAAAAATACACAGAAACAGTGCAGCCAATGCGCTTTAACCAACTGGGTAGAATATGATCAGTTACTCCACAAGGCAGAGCAACGAAGAGCTGTCAGGAAACACCAGGGACATTATACAGATTCTGTATAATGTCCCTGGAAACAATTAACCATCCTACTTATCAAACATCGAGACTCTACGGACAGGCACTTAAATACACAGAAACAGTGCGACCGAGGAGCTACCAACTGGTTACGTATAATATAATTAGTTACTCTACAACGCAAATCAATTTAGAGCTGTTAGGAAGCAACGGGCAGCATCTACGGACAGACACATCAAATTAGACAGTTGATGAGCTACCACCTGGGTAGAATTTGATCAGTTACTCTACTGGGCAAAACAATTTAGAGCTGTTAGGGACAGCCTGACCATCCTAACGGGCCACCTATCAAACATAATATCAACCATCGAGGCTCTACGGGCAGGCACTTGTACAAAAATAGACAGCTGATGAGCTGCCAATTGGGTAATTAGTTACTGTACATGGCAGAACAATTAAGACCTATAAGGAAAAACCAGGCCACATAAAATTGTCTGGATCGAGCCAAATTGATGCGCTTTGATCCAGCTTCGATCCAGATATTAATTTTATCCTAGTGGAAAGGGCGTAACAGATAGTATGTGAAACCCCTAGTGCCCTACGGACATGCAATTATTTATTATACACTCACGAACAAGCGAACCTAGTAGATGATCAGCTACCAAATAGTTAAGATATGATTAGTGCAGGGCAGAACGATTTAAGGCTGTTACGGAACACCGTGTTATCCTAATAGACAGCACATCAAGCTGTGAGTGCTCTGCGGACACACAATTATACAGTATCAAGATCTGATGAGCTACCAAATGGTTAAAATATATAATTAGCTGCCGTACAGGGCAAAACAATTTAAATCTTCTTGGGAACAACGAGACCTTCTAATAGACGGCATGTCAAACTACGAGAGCTCTACGGAATGCACTTACATCAATGTATATACAGTATCAGGCAATTAGTGCCACAAGACATTGGAACTAACAAGGCTTCAAAAACAAGGTATATCCACTAAAGCATTGAAACTAAAGCAAAAAAAAGTACGAGGAAACCGAAATATTGTTCATTTCATTTTACTTCAAAACGATAACAGACATGGAACAATTGGTGCAAAATAAAATTCTAAAATCCTTCGGCATTTCACGCTTAATAAGATCGGTATCGGCAAAAATATTTACATATTTCATAATAATAATACGTTTTACATAATAGATACACTTGGTAACAATAAACTTTCCCTACACGCCTAGTAACGATTCCAAATCTAATTCTTGGAGATAAAATTGCACATTGCCGTGAAACACACTCCCCGCAAAGACAGCGGAAAACTGAAAATTGTTGCTTTAAATTTTTTTCCTGATGTTGTGCTCTGAGGCTGCCCAGGGCTCTGTGAATCGGGCGACCCTATTGGTTGTGGTGTTTATGGGAATTAATCACCACTGGTAAAGTTATGGGATTATTATTATTATTATTACTAAGATATATGGCATTATTACCAATATGAAATGGGGACGTTTATAAGAGTAATACTATAGTTGTCATAATTATTATATAATTATGTTTGATTTAATTATTTTTTATTTCTATTATTCCCACATGTGATCACAAGACGTGGTGACGGCACTTGCAATCTTTTTCAACTTATTTTTATGGCACCACCAACACAGAGGACAATACAATTTTCACCTGAGTGAAGTGCAGAAAGTCGTGTAAAGTGCCTTTCCCAAAGGCACTAGATCGGTGGCATGGCAGGGTTCGAACCCGGGACCTCTTGGTTACGCCCGTTACGCCACACGACGCCACATTTACTTATTTATTAATGATGTTCTTTCCTGAATCTTCTTCCATGTCTTCAGGTATGGACAGAGGCTTGTAGTCCCGTTTTGGTTCATAGTACTGCATGATTCTGGTGCACAGGGAGAAAAGGTCAGGGTTAGTGTGCGTAGTGATCAAAGACACTCTTTTTACACAACCAAGTCTTTTATTCAGCTGATGTTTCACTTGTTTAGAAGTGAGGATAAACTGTCCCAACCTATTTTGTAGCACCGGTATTGACTTCAACTTGAAGTCAACTAGGCGCACTATAATTGCAGAGTAGACAGGAAATTCGGGGGGACTTTTTCAGACCCAAAAGCCGGGACGTACGCCTGACATTCTAATATTGATTATTTTTCTATTGTCCCCAAACATGTCCCAAAGTGTCTTTTTAGTTGTACCAGCCTAAATTTTAGTGGTCAGTGGCCATTCGACCACCTTGTTCGAGCCCTGGTGCTGCCAAAGCTGACTCACCCAATGAGAACCGCTGCGATCAGCCCAACTCCTGCCCCCAACAGAAACACGAACCCCCGCATGGATGCTACTGTGCTGGAGTAGACGGTGTTGAACAGAAGGGAGAAGATCACTTGTCCCACACTGTCCATGCTCGTCAGGACTGCAAATATCGTACCTTCAAGCAGAAAGAAACATTCCCGTTGCCTTGACAACAAGACTTCACCCCCTCTAGCGGAACGTACAGAAACAGCAGTGTGGACACTGTGAAAAGACAGAGAGAGAGAGAGAGTGAGAGAGGGGTTAGAGAGAGAGAGAGAGTGAGAGAGAGGTTAGAGAGAGAGAGAGAGAGAGAGAGAGAGAGAGGGAGAGACAGAGGCACAGAGAGACAGAGATAAAGACAGACAGGCAAGGATCTTAGGATTACAGTAATAATTCATCGCAACTACCTTTGCATCTCTTAGCACGAAAAAAGGTTGAAAGGTTTAAAGGCAGACAGAGTTTGCTTCTTATTGCCAAAGTCAATTACTGTCAATTTTGCAATGAATATCTGATGATACCGTCACTGTACCTTGTTCACTTGGTAAAACCTCTCTGGACATGATTGTCTTCAGAACTGGAGCAATGATGGCTCTGAACATCATGACGGCAGGGACTGTGAGGAAAAATTTAATCATCGGCAAAAACGTTAAATGATGCGCAAATGCTCCTTTTCCTTTTCACTTGCGTGTACACGTCAAATAACAAAATTTTTCTAACAAAGAACAACTTAAGTGTCTACTTACCCATGAACACCGCTATTTTGGGGTTGCTGAAGTTGCCAGCGAAAGCCAGGAGAACCATACCACCGATGAAGGAGACAAAGGCTATCTGTAACATAGATACAAAAGGTTCCAATTTCAGATATGTTGGTTTGTAGAACATATTCTGTGTTTCAACCAAGTTAATTTACCTCAGAGTCTGTAAATACGTTTTACTGTATTTTATCTAAAGCCCGTCACACATCCAGCCCCATGGGTAAACGCCCTGCCCACACCTGAATGTTTTTAAAATTTTGAAACATTTGGCTGGCGCAGCCGAACAGTAGCCGACCTTGCCAAACACCGACCAACCAACCAGCCAGCCAGCCAGCCAGCCAACCAGCCAGCCAGCCAACCAACCAACCAACCACAGACCTACTCTTAACCATGACCTACTCTTAACCATGGTTGGGGGAGTTTGGATAGTGTCCGGGAAGCCATATTCAGCTATGTGTGACAGGGGCTTAAGAATCCAGTTGTGTTATTGGATTCTTCTTCGAGTCCAAAGATCTTTAATAAGATCTTAAGAAACCAGTATACACTCTACAACTTACCATCATCAAGGCGAACTCTGACACACAGTTGTTGAGGACACGGATGCAGATGAGACTCATGATGAACGTAGCTCCCGTAGCCGCCTTCAGCAGTCCGACCAGATCCGATGTGAAACAAAACGGTGTGGCTAGCACGTACAAAATGAGTAGGGTGCTAACCGTGATCATACTGCCTAATGCGAAGAGATACGCTAAAGTCCCCAGCAAGAGTTTCCTTCTCCGACCGTCGTAGCGTTTCTCGTAAAACGCGTTAAAGCACTTACGAAAATGGCTAGTACAGGATACGTCATGCGTCTGTTTATTATCCACTCTTGGTCTGGTCTCTTTTAGAGTGAAGAGATACAAAACACAGAAGACGCTGCAACCGACGATAGCCCAGGTGACTTCCTGGAACCCTCGTGGGACGCCGCGTCCGCTCAGCCAGTACCCGGTCCCGATTTCTCCGACCAGAGAGGAAATTCCGACGGCGCTTTCCATGACAGCCACTCGGAACGTGCGCTGTTTGCCCGGGTCCGTGATGTCGGCGATGTACGCGGAGCAGCCGCTGAACATTGCCGTCCAGCCGCCCATCACACCATAGAGGAAGTTCCCTACATATTCAATGCAGACAAACAAGTTATTACTCTAAGGTATTGTACTAGTACTAGTGCACCAGTAATGTATCATGTACAAATCTAAATAAACCATTCCCAATAGAGCATGTTATCATACAGTGACTAAAGTTTTATCATAATTTTATAGTGTCCTTTATCCTCAATGACCTGTCCCTACTCAAAGATTAGGCATTGCAAATATTTTCGAATGGGTGCTGGACAGGGAAACGGGACTGCATAGGACAGAGTCTCAACGAGTATTCGATATAGCAACCACAGAGCTGAAATAGGGATGGATACCAGGCATATAGAGTCTCCCCTTGCCCCACAGAACCTGCTTGGAGATTACACTCTACCTGCTAGCATAAGTATGTGTGTGTGTGTGTGCATGTGTGTGTGTGTGTGCTGATGATGCTTGTGTGTGTGTGTGTGTGTGTGTGTGTGTGCGTGTGTCCTAAGTGTGTGTGTGTGTGTGTGTGTGCATGTGTGTGTGTGTGTGCTGATGATGCTTGTGTGTGTGTGTGTGTGTGTGTGTGTATGTGTGTGTGTGTGTGTGTGTGTGTGTGCTTGTGTGCCACTGTGTGTGTGTGTGTGTGTGTGTGCTTGTGTGTGTCTGCTTGTGTGCCACTGTATGTGTGTTTGTGTGCCACAGTGTGTGTGTGTGTGCATGCATGTGTGTGTGTGTGTGTGTGTGTGTGTGTGAACATCACTCTACCTGCTAGCATGACTTCCAGTGGAAAGGAGAAGTTCACAATCAGGGCTCCTGCTATGGAGCTCAGCATTCCGCCTATCAGAGGCACAAAAAGCCCCATCTAGAATGAATGAATGAACTGGTTTATTATTTAGAAAACACATATCATTACAGCCCTACATGGCTGAATTGGGACATGTTACATATTAAAATTTATCTCATTGATTCAACAACTTGACAATAAAATATAAAATAATATTGTTATAAATCTAGACACTCTACAGCTAAACTGCGTGAAGTTGTCTTTTGACCTTTAAGTTCTCTGCCATGTTGGCATCAACGTTTAGGAGGTTACCACAGACTAGAGATGGTGGGGAATTTACATATAGTTATAGACAATGCAAACCTTCCGCCCGTACGTGTCCGATAGAGTCCCCAGCGCGACAGTGGAGATAGCAGCAGGAATGGCCTGTGCCAGGGTGAGGTACAGCTGCCACTGGGACGTCTCTGCCTGAGCCTATAGTTGATTTAATAATAATAGTTATATTTAATAAATATAGTTGATTTAATAATGATAAATAGTTTATTGGTAAACCCGTGCAATCGCAGCCCTCTACAGCTCTGAATTGATGCAGGGTTTACAGTCAGGTTACAATCACCTAAGAATCAATCAATAATCACAACCAACCACATAATACACATGATACATTTAACGTATTTACTCCACGCACTTTTGTTGTGGAACTGTCGCAAGGGTCTGTGCGGCTGCCACCCGATTTGATTTTGATGTAGTTTATTTGCATATATACAACAAAATACATTATGAAATAATACAAAAATGGACAAATATGCCAGGGGAGGCCTGAAACTTTAAGTAGTTTTTCACGGGCCTCCCCAAATGAAATTGGTAATGACTGACAGTGTTGTTTATTATGTGTTCGGCTGAAGTTATTCCAAATAATGGGCTGTCTATACATTATTGAAAATTATTTTTGTGTGGATTTAATTATTACTAAATCATTTTCCAATTTTTGACTGCTTACTATTTTGTGACAATTATGTACCATGTAATTATGTATCATGTAATATGTATTTGATAGAGGCATGTGTAATTAGGTGAGGTTGATTAATGTGACACTTAGTGATTGAGCAGAAAATCATTGATATACAATGCCAACACCAGGCTCATTCTTGTATTTATTGTGTAAAAAAAAACTAGCCTTGATTTGTCTCTGGTAGGCCGGATCGCTGACGTTGGCGTCACAGCTGCTGGTATTAGTTGGAAGCGTGCCGTTGCCCAGCACGTTGTAGATGTACTGCTGGTAGGTAGGAGATGTGGCTACGAGCCCGATAAAAGCCACCAGAAGGATGGGTTCTGTGGTGACCGGGCACCATGGCTTCACTCGAACGGTCTCTCCACCACTCATCCTGCAAGAGGGAACAAAATGATTACACCGGTTGTAAAAATCCATTACACGTTGTAGATGTACTGCTGGTAGGTAGGGGCTGTGGCTACAAGGCCAATAAATGCCACCAGAAGGATGGGTTCTGTGGTGACCGGGCACCATGGCTTCACTCGGCTGGTCTCTCCGCCACTCATCCTGCTAGAGGGGGGAAGAAATTGCAATGATGACTACATATTGAACCGTGACGGGGGCTGACATCGTCTACCAGCTACCTTTGACCCAATGTTGACGTCACACTTCAAAGATTCCACGTGACATGACGAAGACCAGAGTGACTGGTCGAAAGCTCTTAGGTGAGAGAACTTTGTGTTGGACCAAAAGTTTATATGACTACATACTATTGTTAACCCATTTTCGTGGTCCTCCATTGGAAAATAAGTATGTGTGTATACATTTGTGTGTGGAAAAGATGAAAATAACGTGGCATGGATATGGTCAGACACGGATATTTCTTTGTTTGCTTATTTTGTTTCTTAATTTTTTATCATCACATCACAGCTCAATATACATGTAAGATTTTAGAGTTCAAAAGCCTACACAATTGCAAACGTATGCACCCCGATATCCTTTCCAGCGCTTAGCCCATTACTATTGATAAATGGATATGTAGCGTATGCATGCCATGTTGAATTCTGATAAAAGTTACCTCCCTAGCCTAAGTTCCCTAGTTCCCTAGCCTAGTTCCTATACTAATCATCATCGCTAACCTTATATACACAAGCAAGAAACCTCCCAGCTTACATAATGTTTTACTTTGTACATCTAATATTTGTCAAACAGAGTTAGCGATCTTACTATTGATTGCCCACTTGGGACGGAACATTAACAATTATTGTAGAGGGGTGTAACGTTGTATACCCCGGGCTCACTACTGAAAAACACATTTAACTGTATCCGTTATCATAAGTTACCAACTTTTCACGAGTTCTCAACTTTTACAATAAAGGATCACCTGAGGCAACACGTGTATGTCAGACATACAGAAGTTAAGTCACGAGGTGTCACATGATTATCGTAAGTTGTTGATAAGAACACTGGACTTTGACCTTAATGACAACGACAGTGCCGGTACAAATGAATGGTAGGCCAGGTATTGTACAGTTTTAATATGGACATTAATGTAGCCACTGCAAATCATGGTTCAATTTCACAAGGACACAGATTTTTCTGTACAACTACATAAGTCATTAAATTTTATGCCACAAACTTGTATCTGTACAATGCCGGTATCTTTCACTTAAAATGTGATCCACTGTATTTAGTGTGCTGCTGGTTCAAACAGACTATACAACGCAAAGTTTACTATTAAAGCGTTGGCTATTTACCTTTACCCCCTTTAGCCAATAGTTGTGTAACTGGTTATACCGGGGAGGTTCAACTACTTTTTTTGTCTGGGGCCCTTAAATGTCAGCTCTTCAGCACCAGGTCCAACGTTTAACATACCCCCAATGAATTTTTGTCTCAGACCCCAGGAAGGACATTTCATATACCAGGCTTTATAATAGTAGCGAGGAGGTTCAAAACAACCTCCTTGATAAGTAGTAATTAAGTAAGACCAGACTAGCAGGTACTGTGTGACAACTTACCAGTACCTAACCCATAGCAAGGAGACATGTTGACCACCTGTTTTTCATTCACAAATCACATAAAAGAAAAATACAGTTTACCCACCTTATTTAGCTTCTCTTACAGTACTCTTACTGTCTCTCCTGTCAGAGTTTTTAAGTTGGTGTCAGGACTTGAAAAAAACTGAGGCCAGCTACCGGTATGGCCTGCCTGACTGTCATGGTACCCATTAAACCAAGGAGCTTTCATCACATGTGATGAAAGCTCCTTGATTAAACCAGTGTTGGCACTCAGCCACCATATGACTGACCTTCGGAACGGACCACAACTTGTAAGATAGTAGGGGTGTTCCGTTAAGATTCCACGCTTTCTATCCATTCTTCAGGATAGGAACTCTGTCATCATCAAAAACATACTATTTTGATATGTGGGTGGGGGGCAATGAGCCCCCCGTTCATGAGTTGTCAATAAAAGTTTTGAAAGACCATGAAAGTACGAGAAATCTTATTTGGGAGGCTCTCCATTTAGTAGAACCTAAACAATGGTCTATGTGTCAGCTGCCAGTCAGCCAGCTTGTGTCAACACATAATCACCAGTTCCTGATGTACATTCGGTCAACTTTCTTACGGTCAGAAAGCTGAAAGCTAGCTAGTAGAAGACAGACACACACGGCTTGCACTTCGAAGAAAAATCGCTAGATGTCGTCACGTATGCGTGCAGGGCCAAAGGTGAAAGGTGAAACAGAAGGCGTCAGCGTGGAGCGAACGCAACTTTCACACATGGTCTTTCGTAGTTTTTACCTTTCTGGTACGTAAGTACGCCTTTATTTCTGCCCTAAACCCTAGGTAAGATCCCAAGGCATGTGTTAAACTGTCTCACTCAGCGTAGTCAAGTGTATGAACGTGTAGATACATGTTTCCATGCATGTCCACACTCGCACACGCTGTTCGTCAGAACGCACGTGTATGTGCGCTTGGACTTTAAAGACTCTGGATGGATATTTTCTTCGGTCTATGGGCATTTCGTTGACCTTGCGAACACTTGAAGGTAGATTAAGTTGTGTACTTCTTAAGTAAGATATTCACTTTCGGGTGGAAAGAACTCAGGTAGTGTCGTTTTTTTCCTCAGAATGGTCCAACTTCAAATTACTACTACAATGTACTATGTAGTATGTGGTTTGGTTTGGTTTTCCTTTAATGCCCTCGATCATGATAATGATCATTCTGGCATACTCATTTTTACCTGAGCCAAGTGAAGAAAGTCGTGTAAAGTGCCTTTCCCAAGAGCACAAAGTTGGTGACTTGGGGCAGGAATCGAACCCGGGACCTCTTGGTTCTGAGCCAAATGCTCTGCTTGCAAAAATTATATATGTACCAGCTGACTGTACGTGAAGTAAGACTTAAACTAACTTTTAAAATCTTAACCCCACATAGAAACAAGTTGGTGAGAGGTTAGTTACATAAGATGGAGGAGGACTCCTTCCCTCGAGGTGGGACGGTCCAGAAGACAGACTCGGCTGACAGGACCAGGCAGAACAGGAGGGATGGACCAGCTCAGGACAACCTCTTCATGGTAGGAACCATGATAAGTCAGTTTACATTTTGAACTGTGTGTGTAGAAAGTCAAAGATGAAGGCACAACAATGTAGATCTTTTACTGGACCCAAATGTTATTATGAACCCAGGTACTCTCATCTGCCGAATAAACATACCCCCCGGAATAAACGTACCCCCCGGACAAATCTTCAAAATCAAATAAACATACCCCCGGAATAAACGTACCCCCCGGAAAATTACCAAAATTGACGGGTAACCTGTGTCTCTTGTACTAAAATGCACCCTTACTGATATATGCACAAATCTTTTACTGTTATTTGCAATTAGGAATTTAAATAGACAAAAAAAATTTCGTATTTTGATAAGCACCACCCATGACAATAGAACATTCAGACAAATTTATGCACGCGGTGATTGCAAAAACCGGCCCGAAAATGACAAGTTTCTCGCTACAATATGCGTTTATAAACGTCTTCACGTTGATGATTTGTCAATTTTTTCACACGAAGTTGAAAAAAATTACTGGTTTTCAAAAAATTAATAAACGTACTGTGCAAAATAAGAACGTACTGGGTGGATGTTTGGGCCCAAAAAAATAAACGTACCCGTATGTTTATTTGGCAGATGAGAGTAGGCTTATAGCGCAAGTTGCTGATTTATTATTTGAACTGCACATAATAGGCGTGAGGTATGCGATATAATGTTATTTGTCAAATCAAGAGCAATCATAGAGAAATATATCACACTTCCCACCAGACCCACGAGGAGTCTTAGGTCGTACATGCTTACACCTGTCAGATCTAAGACGTCAGCGTTCAGTCACTCCTACATTCCCAGACTTGTAACTATCTGGAATAAGTTAGGTTCTGACCTCCGTGGTACTGGTGTGCGAGCCGCTCATCAGTCTGATATCATAGCATTTAAACATAAACTGGCAAAAGTAGCCTACAACAGATTCAACACTCAATACAGTCTTGATCTGCCATGTACCTGGACCACTTCGTGTGGATGTAGCTCTTGTATTGCCTCAAGACCTCACTAGATATCGTTCCGATATGGTTATCTCTTCCATTCATTGTTGTTACCTTGATTATTATGGGTTCACCACACCACGAAGTGGTGGTGAACCCATATTGCTTTTTCTGATGTTTCTTCTTCTTCTCCTCCTTCTTCTCCTGCCATTTTTTAAATGGATTCAGCTTCTTCATTTTAGGGCCCAAGGTCCTGAAATTTGGTATGGGGGTACAGTGGGCAAATACCCCTAGGCGTTTTTTAAATTATTTGATACAGGCTTTTAGAATGGTTTTATTTGAGTTTTTTGGCTGTGTTATAGCAAATGTATTACTGTGTTAGTGTGCCTTGTTTACCACGTTTGGGCATGAGTCATCACAATGGAATGCAGGGCATCAACCAATAGGCATGCAGCTTTCCTCTATACTTCTTGCTGATTGGCTGTTGGGATTTAACTTGATTAACACCTGCACAGAGCATTTCCACCTGCACAGAGCATTTCTTGCTGATTGGCTGTTGGGATTTAACTTGATTAACACCTGCACAGAGCATTTCCATACTGACAGAATGTCTGTATTCAAGTGTTTTGGTAGGTATTTCAAGCTTTCCTGCTCCAGCATTGGAATGCGGGGCATGCACGTTTTTTTTTATTTTGAAAATCAACAGTTTGCATTATGCAATTAAAAATCCTAACCAATAAAGTAGGGAATAGCTATCCAACTGTTGGTTTAGTTGTATTTTACTTCATATTATAGTTATATCAATGTAAATCATTGTTTTCCCTTGTGTTTCTCATTCTTTCCCTGCCATGTGGTAAAATGTGGTGAACCCATCGCTGTATTTGCTCCAAAGCAAATATTGGCCTTTCTAGTGTTTATATGATATTTTGTGCCCTACTTGTATTATAGATTGTTGACTGTGTAATGTACATTCTTGTTGTTTTTGTATGTGGGAGGGCAACTAGCAAAGGTGCTTCGCACCTGTTTTGCCCTCCCTTTCACTTTGTGAAAAATTTAAATAAACAAACAAGAAGCCATAGGCGACAATTCTCCGTGAAGTATTATATATTGCAACAAAAAGAAGTAGCCATTGGCGACAATTCTCTGTGAAGTGTGATAAATCGAACAAAGAAAAATTGTTTAAACGCGCGTCGGCTCAGTCATCTTAAGACGCAACAACCAATCAGAGATGCGAGATGCCTACAAGTGACGCGGGAAGGGCGCGCGATGCCCGAAATATTTTTGCGTCAATATTCAGCGCCGTGATTCAAGAGATTAATACCCGGAAACAATTTTTTTCTTGTTTTGAACGCATTAACATGCATTTACGCTAATCTAGTATGATTCAGGGTTACTTTTTTTTTAACCTGCCATGGCCAGATTATCTAAAGATGTGTGTATTGTGTGTACAATCTATAGAAAGAGAAATGTACATCAGGTCCGATCATCCGATTTTCACGTTTCGGTTTTTTGGACTCGGTTCATGAACGTATTTTGGTTTGGCTCCTGGAATGTGCAAAAAAATGACTCCCGGGACTGTCTACAGGGAACACTCGCACATTCGCGGTGTATCAGGACAGCGCGACTGGTCGTCATTAGCGCAGTAACAGTTGCATAAACGGACGAAACCATTTCAAAGAAATGGGGATGTTTCGAAAATAAGCATTTACTCCAATATCAAAACAGCTACGGTAAAAATAAAAAGACGTGCATCATCCCGGACATAATGCAACACCACATGCGAAATTACACAGAAATGCGACGTACGGAAGAATGCGTTTTGGCTGCGAACATCTTCCAAAAAACTTGGCATCTCTTAACCATGGGCAAAAACATCTGGAACCACTTATAAAAACCACCCCGTATCTGCATGAACTTTTTTGAACCCCACTGCTATTCCAAACAACGCGTTTTTCTGGACCATTCCAATTCGCCTCGTAATTGTAGGGGTGCGTCTGCGATATTACATTGACCGCGAAAGCAGCAACGGCAAAAATACACATTCGTGCATCAACACGGGCATGCCCGCAGACGGCGTATAAAATTGCGTGCCGATTACACAAAGAGAACCCAGCGTTTTGACTGCGAACATGAAAAATCAGCCGATTACAACACTCCGTCCGGAGGTCCTGACCTCCTTCACGGAGTAATAAACAAATAAACAAATAATCACATTCCTACTACTAAGTATGTGCTGCTCTGTGGACAAGTTGAAACATTAACAAAACATGCCTTGCCATGGAAATGCGCATGGTGAGAACCATCATCTACAATCATGTACATACATTGTAATACAGGACAAAGTGCCTGGCGGCACATCACGTTCTGGGAAAGGAGGTGCAGCTGGTGTGGCAGGTGGTGGTGAATGAAAAATTATAGAAACAGATGACAAAAATAAATACCATAATAAGTCAGTTCCATTAAAAAAAAATGTTTAACTTTTCTTTCGTGTGTTACAGCCTCGTCCTGATGAGAAGAAGAAGGGTAAGAAGCAGAGAAAGAAGAAAGCAGAAAAGTCGGCAGAAAAGACAAAACGAGAATCAACCTCTGAGGCTGGAGAGGAGGAAGAAGGCAGCCTTCCAAACCTGGTCACCAGTGTACAGGTCCTTAGTTACAAAGTAGGTATTCTTATCCATATTGTATATCTGAATTCTGAAGTATAGTCACTTGGACTTGTGTGGTAACAATAGATTTCCGATCCAGGTACAGTAAGCATGAAACCTGTAATGTATTGTGCATAGCACATCTCATATAAGGTCATACACTATAAGGTTGGGTGTAACAAGTCGTTTGGTAAAATGTAGCCAGCTGCTGCCACGCCGCGTGCCTGCGAAGCTGGTGTGTTATGCCGAAGGGCGATTATACCAGCTATACAGATACAGTTACTTGCATTAACATCGTACAAGGTTAACATCCCATCTGTAGTTTACAAATATTGTGTCAGAAAATATATCATCTGCAAGAGGAAAAATTCTGATACAACATGGACCAAAAATCCAATAAAAACCGTGGAAAATTGGGGTTTCGCGCAGCCGCAGTACGTTCTGCCGACGTGCTGGTACAGTACATGTAAGCTCCCTTTATCCAATGTGTACATCGTCTATGTTACAGAAACTGGTGACAGGAATGCCTGTGCTGGGGTGTGTGAAGGAGGTTAGTGACTGTGATCTCACTTTGAGTCTGCCCGACGGACTGATCGGCTTCGTGCAGATCTCCCGGATTTCAGACACGCTGACTCAGATCCTGCAGGAATACGCAGAGGGGAGTGATCACACAGATGAGGTACAGTACAGGGTTATTTCTAGAAAAGTGATGTTAGACGATAATGTTAGATAATGTTAGACGATAAACCGTATGAGGGAGCACCACATGATGAGGGAGTGAATCTCCATTATTCAGATGTTTTTGACGATGTGATTTGAGGTTCATGCAATTGGCAAATTGGTAATTTATAAGAGGGAGCTCGCCAATTGCTGCACCCTTGTCCCTCTGTTCAGTAGTACTGTTTGGTTTGTTTGTTACTACCCACCCTTTGGTGGTAAAAATGCAGAATTTTAGTTCCCACCTCTCAAAGAAGTATGTGGATCGATCATTCTTTCTGTAATCTCCAATTGCAAGCAGATGTTTAAAAATCATGAGAATATCTACATACGATTTGTTTTTAGATAGTGTCAAAATCGCCAGGCAGTTTGCCCCATAAAAATCTCCTTTTAGATTAGTCTTTCCCTGGCTTTACTTAAATCTTAATACACATTTTAAAAAATTCACAGAAACTTGACTATGTTGCATTACAGGACCTCCCGACCCTCCCAAAGCTGTACCAGCCAGGCATGGTAGTGCGCTGTGTCATCGCTGAAGTGGCCAGGTCTAAGTCCGGTCACCCTCGGATTCTCCTGTCTCTCAACCCTCGGGATGTGAACCAGGGACTACAGGGGACAACACTCAAACCTGGGATGGTAGGGGTCGATTCTACTGTATTTCTTCTAATAAAGAACGCACCCCAAATAAAGGACGCACCCCCGATTTGGGCTTCATCGCAAGGCTGATAATTTATTGCTGTTCTGATGCTACCATAGCGTGTGATTTTTCTCGAGGGAAAACGTGAATAAAGCGCGAACCCCTATTTTGGCTTTGGCTCAGGCATCTATTTGAGAGTGGAAATGTCCAAAAAAGTTTGTCTCTTATTAGAGTAAATACGGTATTCCTTCACAATTTTCATGTTTGTCAACTGAAATTGTCACTAGATTTCGTGTCATTGTGTCTTGTCAATTCAGACATGTTTTTTTTTCATAAATATGTTTTTGGTCTTATGATGTGAATAAGTTAAAGATGATTTGCTCATCTGTTTATGTATGTTTCAGGTGTTATCTGGGTGTGTGGCAAGCATAGAGGATCATGGGTATACTGTTGACCTTGGGGTCAAGGGCACGAGGGCGTTCTTAAATAGAGCAGAAACCCAGGAGTATCTTCAGAACAGACAGATGGGTATGTATCTTCTTAAGATTCAGAGGTGTGAAACGTCATTGTTGCTCTCTTGTTATACTTATTTTTCAAGACTATCAAAGACATTAGCCTCGATAGCATTCTAAAAACTGGGGGGTTTTGGGGGTCTTCATGGTCTTTGGGAGCTTTTATGTGCTATTTTCTGATTGCATATAGACAACATAGCCGGCCTGGTTGAATTACCCCCGTTTAGAACTGGGCTAATCAGAAAACAGCCGAAGACCACCAAACCCCCAGTTCTATAAGCCTGCTACAGAGGTTACGAAGACATCATGCGACCAATAATTTTTCATTTCTTAAAGCCGAAACAATTTGGGCTTTGAAGTCTGCATCGGATTCCATTCTGTACTATGCAATGGGTGTACAAGACTTTGTTATGTACATGTAACACAACTGTTATTCACTAATGTCTTACCAAAACGCTTCAACTTTAAGGTGCTTAAGGTGTGCTTCAATATGTTTGCAAAATACCTCTGACCACAGTCCATAGTCAGTGACCTCTAACCTCTGCCCCTTGACCCTCAGATGACCCGATGCGGCCGGGTCAGCCTGTGCTGTGCCTGGTGAGAAGTGTAGTGAGCGGAGGACGGTCGGTCAATCTCAGCATCTCACCTACACTGCTGCAGAAAGCTGTGGTGAGTAAGGAAACAAACTCAAATATGAGAGATATTTCAATTCCTTCCTTACCTCTAGACATTTTATCAATTCTTTTAGGTATCTGTCAGGAATCTTTAAATGGATTTGTCGTAGTCCCCAGAAAAGTCCTGGGTCTAGCAATGTTTGTAATCCAGTGTTTTCAACCATTGCAAGTATTTTGTTTTTTCTCTGTTTCTTCTTCTTCTTCTCCAAACAAATAAGGTCAATGACCTGATGCAGACATCTGTCACCATGGTAAAGCTGGTGTTGGGTTACATCATGTTGCAATTTGCAATAGGGATTTAGACTCCTGTCACCATATATATGAATATGTTTGAGTAAGAATTAACAGAGCAGACCATATGTGAAGGTAAACATTATGCATTTGCTTTGCAAATGTTACCTTTCTAGTTTTTTCTTTCCTCTCCCAGGCCAAAGCTGACCAGGACCTGACCCTGGATACCCTGACCGCCGGCACACTTGTGGAGACGACCGTGACGTCAGTACAGAACCACGGTGTACTGGCGGAGTTTCTGGGCTTCACGGGGAGCGTCTCTCGTGTGCACGTCCCGACAAAACGGTCCGAACAGTACAGGAAGGGACAAAGGGTGGGTCACAATACCAGTTATAGTTTTTACTTAGAACTTGACATAGAAGGATAGTAGTAGCTTCCATAGCATGCCAAAAACTGGGGGTTTGGGGGGTCTTCAGGGTCTTTTATGTGCTATTTTCTGATTGCATATAGACAACATAGCCGGCCTGGTTGGATTACCCCCATTAGAACTGGGCTAATCAGAAAACAGCCGAAAAGACCACCAAACCCCCAGTTCTATAAGCCTGCTACAGAGGCTAGGATAGTAGTAGGAGGGTGAGAATATATTAATTGCACAGACTATAATTTGGATACACATACATGTACTAGTAAACCAAGATAGGAAAAATGGAGACAACAAATTTAGCAGTCATTCAACCAAAATCAAGCTACAATTCCAGCATTTATGTCTACTAAGACAGTTACTCTTTCTAGGATTCTCAACTCTAGAACAACAGGATGTTACAAAATAAACAACAACTTTTGTCTTTGTTCTTTCCCTAACAACACACACACAGGTGAAGGCATGTATACTCAGTGTACATCCACTCTACTACCAAAACAGTTGTTCTTAGTTTGAATTCTCAACTTTGGAATGATAGGATGTTAGAAAATAGCACAACAACTTTTGTCTCTGTTCTTTCCCTGACAACACACACAGGTGAAGGCATGTATACTGTACATCCACCCTACTACCAAGAGAGTGGCCCTGAGTTTCCAGTCTCGACTCTGGGATGGCAGGACAATGGTAGATATACAGGAGTTTCCTACCATAGGGACTATCTACAAGAAGGTGCCTGTCGTCCATGTGTGGTCGGGTATTGGAGTCACCCTGAAACTGGGTGATGAAACAGCAGGATTCGCAGCCGTGAGTACTGTACATTTTTATTATGTTTACTGAAGGAAAACATATTGTTTTTGTTCTGTTTCTTCTGCTTCTGTTCCAAAAACTGACCTCTAACCTGGTCAACTCACCATGGTAACTGGTGTTGGGTTACATAATGTTGCAATTTTATAGCAGGAGGGATTTAGAGTCCTGTCACCTTATATATGAATGTGTTTGAGTACGAACTAACAGAGCAGACCATATGCAAAGGTAAACAGTACAAATGTAATTGTACATGTTTTTTTTTCATTTTCTCACAGGTATCTCAACTGTCTGACCAACCTGTAGAAAACATAGAAACCACCTTCAAGCCAGGCACACAACACAGGTATGCAGTCAGAATTTTACAGTTGTCATCTGACACAATTTTCCAGGCACAGAAGCACAAAGCAGTGTGGGTAAGGGGGTGAACTCTGCCATCTTAATGTTTTTTTATAATGTTCTAATATCCATGTGTTTCATGTTTCCAGTTGCAGAGTGATCAGCTGCAGTCCACTGGATGGCCAGACTATCGTGTCGCTGAAAAAGTTAGTAACAATAATATTTTTTATTACACATTTATTAATTATTCAATAGCACTTTGCTCATTTGATGGGAATTGCTTTCAAATGGCAGTGTTCTAGCCAGCCTTTCCTGCCATTTAATTGATTCTGCCATTTTTGTTAGTTTGTTGCCTTTTCATTAAGATACTGTATTCTGTAGCATTGATTCTTTTATGTTTATTATAATATGATAATCATTGTAATTTATATAAAGAAACTCTGAGGAAGACGTTTTGCTAGAAGACCACATGAAAAGTCCTGACTGTTACATGTGTACATGTATATCTCTCCCCAGGAGTGTTATAGAACAACCTTTCCTGTGTCTACAAGATCTCAAACCTGGGCAAATTGTGGAGGTGAGTAGGATGGGGTTTAAACACATCAAAACAAACACAGGCTTCTTGTCACAAAATTTTGACAACATTTTTGTACCAGGCTGACATTTTGGGTAACTTCTGCAGTTACATGTTACATGGACCTTCAGGACATGAGTGGATGCCACTACCGCTCATTGCTACTTGTACAGGTTGAATGTCCTTTTTCTTCATTAAAGAACTAATTATTGTTCTGACCTAAAGAAGATATTTACAGAGCACAAATGGGGTTTTATGCACTGTATAGGAACAAACTTAAAGATGGTATTTCCAATGTTTAGGATGAGTGACATGGAAACTATTCTACACTTACCTGTCTATTTTATGTAGGATACAGAAGTTTTCTTTTACACAACCAAGATTTTTCACCTAAGTGCTGACATTTCGGTGTCTATCAGACATCATTCTCAGAGCTACTGACTGGAGTTCTGCTTACAGTGTAGGGTGAAATCTTGGTTGTGTAAAAGAAAACTTCTGTATCCTACATAGAATAGTGTTAAATAGTTTCCATGTTACTTGTCCTATACATTGGAAATACCTTGCCATCTTACTATTTTTGGGGCTATTTTATGTAGCAACTGTTTTGGTTAATAAATTTTCTTCCCCAGGGTAAAATAACATCAGTCCTGTCCAGCGGGATAGCCGTCTCCCTGTCTAACTATGTCCGAGGAGTGGTCTCCAGTATCCACCTCGCAGACATCATACTGAAAAACCCTGCCAAGAAATTCAACGAGGGAGACAACATCAAGTGCAGGGTGTGTGAATTGGTGTCGTTTTCAAAGCTTGCAAGGTTTAAGTAATCATTTACTGGTAAAAAGAGTAAAGAGGGTTATCTTACCGTACATTATACTTGACTTGTACAATGTCCTTATACCACTAGTTATACCTGTACAGTGTATCTGGTAGCCAGTATAACTGCCTTGCAGTGTATCTGTATCCGTTAGCCAGTATATCTGTATCTGTATAGCCGGTATAACTGCCCTGCAGTGTAACACACCAGCTTCGCAGGCACGCGGCGTGGCCACAGCTTGCTATATCACACCAAATGACTTGTTACACTCGATCTTTGCACATTTAATTGCATGATCTGTTTAAAGCTTCCTGAAGACTTAGTCTAACTCATACATGTGTACATGTATACATGTATGTACATGTGATATCCAATTTAAAGACTAATTACTGTGCACCCAATGTGTCGGATCATGTCCTGTAACCCTGCACAGGAGAAACTCAGGCGAATTTTTTTCCCAGGTTCTGAACGTGGCATTAGAAAGACGACAGTTGGCCCTGACTCACAAGAAGACCCTCCTGTCCTCCAAACTGCCCATCCTGGCCAGCTATCAGGCCGCCAAACCCGGCATGTGGGCACACGGATTCATACTGGCCATCCTGGAGTATGGCTGTATTGTCATGTTCTACAACAATGTCAAAGGTAATTCAAGGGTTTGTCTTGTTTTTCTTTACCTCAACTATATACTTTGAGTTTGTACATTGTATGTGTATGTTTGTGCGTGGGCACACAGATTTTTTACTGACCATCCTGGAGTATGGCTGTATTGTCATGTTCTACAACAATGTCAAAGGTATTCAAGCATTTTCCTTTTTTTCCCCTTATATTGAGGGAAAGCATTGTTTTTGGCTTCTTTGTGTGTGTCTGTTCTGTATATGTATGTGTTTGTGCCCCCCCTCTCTCTGTATCTGTGTGTGTGCGTGTATGCTTGGTGAATGTATGTTTGTGTGTGCATAAATGTTAGCAATAGCAACTATATAGTGTTACATGTTGCCATACATAAAGAGCAGTCCATGTGGTTCATAGTGGGAAACATCTTCATTTATCATCTTCTTAACACTTGAAGATGAATTTCTATGTTTCCCTAAAGTCTAGCTGTGCCATCTTAAGACAGTGTTCTTGATTCCCTTCATGATCAGGTCTTCTACCCAAGAGAGAGATGTCCCAAGAGTCCGTGGAGGATCCCCGTAAGCTGTTCTACAGGGGTCAGGTGGTCAAGTGTCGGGTCATGACCTGTAACCCTGCACAGGAGAAACTCAGGCTGTCTCTCAAGGTGAAGTCTCTTTTCAGTCAGAATTTTCTCCGACTTTTCTCAGACTTACCTTAGTGCAACATTTTTGGTGTAATGGGTTCACTGCAAAAACATAAATCATTATGCAAATATTTGTAACAGTGGGGGGTTTATAGGCGCTACCAACTGACCTGGCTGATGGGCCTAGACCTTTTCGGCCAAGTGGTTAGAGCGTCGGCATGTGGACTGGTGCCCGGGTTTGGTTGTGGGTTCGAACCCCGGCCTGGGACCCGGGGTTTCTATCTGTCACACATTTCATAATTTACTGTGACATAATATTTGATTTGTATATGAAAGTTATCAACAGTAAAATTTAATGTAAGCTGGCATACCTGTATTTCCAGTACTGGTAATCACTGCACTCAATATTCTAACATGCCCAAAGTGTTCATGAAAGGATTTTAACTGTTCTCTCGCCTTCTTTCCAATGTGCAGCCAGAGAATTCGGGTACTGCTGTTGCACCTGACTTTGAAGTTGGCAAGGTCTGTTCAAATTTCTCTTTATCAATCAACTAGTTGATATCATTTTTCATCTAAAAGTATGGAATATCACCAGCAACCTAGCCACTGTTTTTAGGAGGAGACGCACCTTACTTATTTGAATTTTCTTTATTCCACATTTTGTTTTTATTGATAATTTCTCAATTCTTAAATATTTTTCAATTCCATATGCTTGACTGATCTGTTATTTTTATTAGATGGTGGATGTCGAAGTCACAGAGGTCAAACCTGACAGCCTGGGGGTCAAGGTTCAGGGGTCAGGCACGCCGGGATTCCTTCCCATGATGCACCTGTCAGACCACCAGGAGAACTGTCCCCTGGTACTGAGCAGGTACAGCGCTGGTGATGTCATACAGGGGGCCATGTACTGCTGTAGCAGGGCTACGGGCGCTGTATCCTTGACTTTATCTTAAGTTTTTTTTTATGAAGGTTTACCACATTTTGTGGAAGGATTGACATAACAGGTGACTATCACCTCTTCAATATGTCAAACCTGAGACCAGACTGTAAGGTTTGAACCACTCACACCGGGAAGGTCCCCTACTTTTGATCCAACACAATAAAGTTCTCCCACCTAGATCTTTCGACCAGTCACTCTGGTCTTCCTCAGTAGACTGACCCAGTGAGGATTGTCAAGTGGCTTCTTTGAAGTGTGACATCAACCCTTTTTGACACTTCAAAGAAGCCAGGTGACAAGCTTCACTGGGTCAGTCTACTGAGGAAGACCAGAGTGACTGGTCGAAAGCTCTAGGTGAGAGAATTTCATTGTGTTGGATCACACTTTTTTTAAAACTAGAGCTAAAACTATGTTAAAACTTTGAACATACCAAAACAGATGAACATGTCTTTCATGATAGTATAAAGAAATGCCCAGTCTGTCCTTAACACGTTTCACCAGATGTTGACTCTAAAACCTTCCCTGAAGGCTGCGGTAACCTCGGGGCAGGTTGTTGAGAGGTTTGCAGACCTGCAGACAGACCGTGTGTTGTGTGGGTGGGTCAGGACAGTCCGGTCGTTCGGTGTGTTTGTGGAGTTCCCTGGTGGATGGGTGGGGCTGGCTCCAAAGGCTGTAAGTAAACAGACGTTTCAGCTAGTATCCACTATCTTTCATCAGCTGAAACATCTGACCGTTTCCATAATCATATCCAGTTGCTCGAGTACTTAGTCTAGTAACGTATCGTCTAGTTTAGACACCATTTTTACATTAGGTAAAGTCTTCTTACATTGGATATACAAAATGTACTGCTAGCTCGAATATGTTACTACTCACATACTCTTTTTAGAAAGTTATGTGTTTTTGATGTTTTGACTTTCTGTGTTTCCAGGCTGTGTCTGACAGGTTCATAGAAGACTGCACCAGTCTGTTCGAGGAGGGGCAGTCCGTCGTTGCCAAGGTGACAGAAGTTGATAGTGAGAAGCAGCGTTTTCTGGTCAGTCTGAAGCCCTCGGAGTGCCCCCTGCCAGCTGAAGGCGGTACTGCAGTAGAGACACTGGCGAGCCTTCTGTCTGAAAGGGACAAGGCAGTGCAGCAACTCAAAGCTACACAAGGTCAGTGACCTTTGCTATATGTACATGTACAGTGTACTTCACTCCCTTAAATGAAGTCTTCTATTGGGCCTGTCAATTTCTTTGTTTCTTTGTACTTCATTCCAAAAGCAAGACCAAGTCACCCATACATGATGATATCATGTATAAATGTACATGTAACTCATATACTGTTATCAAGAATGTTTTGTAGTTCCTCAATGTAAGAGAGACCTGTCTTGTAGAATTGTGTTTTGATAGTTGTTGCCATACACTGTACCTTGTACAATTGCAAAGCAATAAAGTTCATACAGAGTTACTGTTACAGTACTTATGTTTAGTTACATTAACAAAAAAAGTATTACACAATTTATAGTATAACATGAGATTATCAAACAATAGCATCACACTGTAACATTTACAGTGCATTCACATTTTTACCTGGTGTTCACCTTTTCTTGTAGGTTCAGACCTAAGCAGCCAGCTCGGCAAGGTTCTGTCTGCAACAGTGACAAACGTTCAGGAAGCCGGGATGGTCCTCAGCATACCTGACCTACAGGACCTGACAGCAGTGGCCAGCAAGACCCACTGTGAAGGGACTGATCTGAACGTAGGGGACACCACCCGAGTATGCATACTACATGTAGACATCCCTAACAACATTGCAGAGGTGTCCCTACGGTCTGACCTACTGGAACACGCTGGAGAAAAGGGGAAAAAGAAGAATAAAGGAAAGATGAAGAAAGGCGGAGAGCTTGCTTGCACGGTTCTTGATGCTAAAGCAAAGTATCTGCTGGTAGCATTTGACGGGGAAGAAGGGTTGGCGTATGTGACAAGAAAATGGCACCCGAACCGCGGGAGCAACGTGGGCATGGGAGACTCTCAGATTGGAGAGAAGTGTAAGATTAGGGTTGTGAAAGTTATGCAGGGCGGCGGGGTCATAGCAGTGCCTGCCGGGAAGAAGACAGAAGGAAGGAAGGATGGTAGGGAGGAACCTAGGGCAGAGAGGGCGAGAGAAGAAAAGAAGAACAGGAAGAGAAAAAGAGAGGAGAGTGACGGCCAGGACGGAGCTCAGGCTTGTGAAGAAGAGGGACAGAATCAAGCCAAGAAAATCGAGATTGGAGCAGCTGTGAATGTCGTAGTGACGGCAAAAGCTCGAGATCATTTAGAGGTCAAGATCAAGGGTCCAGGTCACAAGCAAGAGGGCATAGTTCACATATCAGAGGTCAAGGACGATGTGAGGGAGGGCGAGGCACCCATGGCCAAGTTCCAGCCGGGTTCGGTGGTTAGCGGGCGTGTCATCGGTATCTCTCACAATTGCAAGAAGGTGAAAAATCTTAAGTCACTTCCCTTCAGTCGCCCTGGGTTTGAGGAAGTTGTCTACGACGTGTCTTTAAGAGAAAGCGTCGTAAAAGCTGACAAGGACTTTGAGAAGTTCTCACTGCCCAATGAAAAGGAAAGGACCGACGCGTACAAGGAGGACCAGAGGGTGATGTTCTATGTCGAGTCTTTCCAAGACTCGCACCTGGAAGTCTCCATTTCCCCAGGTGTGCAGGGAAAGATAGACCTGCTCAGCCTCTCAGACAAGGTGGAGGACTTGGAGAATCCCTCCGCAGTGTTCAAGTCCAAGTGTGGATACCTTGGCACCATCACTAGTATCGATAAAGAGAGCTCAACATTGCACCTCTCTAGACTCAGCAAAGCCAGCAAGCTCTCCCCAGGTTTGGTAGTCAATGCACAGGTGGCTAAAAAGGTGCCCGGTAGATTGGTTGTGAGCCTTCCTTTTGGGTGCAAGGGCTACGCAGACTTAACCGACCTGTCTGACTCTTACTCTTCCCACCCAATGGGCACCTTCAAGGTAAACCAGTTCCTGAAGTGTTGTGTGCTCGAATGCAGCAGCAAACGGCATGTACGGGTGTCGCTACGACTGTCCAAGATCGGTGGAAAGGCGCGGAATGTCAAAGACCCAGACTACGAGACGGTGGAAGACATCGTAGAGGGTGACATCGTACGCGGTTACGTCGAAGACTTCAACAAGTACGGCGTCTTCGCTGCGCTCTCCCACAAGGTGAAGGGTCGAGTGCAGTACAAGCACGCCACGTCTTACTTCGTAAGAAACCAACAAGAGCTGAAGAAGCATTTTCCCGTCGGTAAGCTCCTCACGGCTAAGGTTCTTGAAGTGTCGTACGAATCGTCCCATCTGGAGCTATCTTTGTTGGAAAAGGACACAGGCGCACCAGACCCTCTCCCAAACACCTGCGGTTACCCGCTCAGGGCTTCCAAGGACCAGAAGGACAAGAAGAGGAAGGAGAGAGGGAAGGAGAAAGAAGAGAAGGGAAGGAAGAAGAAGAGAAAGGTGGAGAGAGATTCGGAGGAAGACGACAGCGGGGTAGAAATTGCTGTGATGAAGTCAACAGATGAAGAAGAAGAGTCAGTTCCAGTCAAGGTAGGGTTACTGTACACATGTAATTATAAAAGTACTTAGTATTGTTGTTTTGTGATTTCAAGTTCTATACAAACTTTAATCATACATGATTAGACAGTGTAAAATCTACATGTTCATACTATCTGTAGATAGCTTTCAGTTGGGTATACGTTAGGTGTACAGTGTAAATGCTGGCGCTAAATTCTTGCAAGTAACTTGTATGTTTGGTTTCACTTTTTTCTGGAACAGTGAAAGATGAAAGATTCCACTTTTTCTGTGTCATTCAGTGGAAATTATGTCTGTAAATTTTTGTTATGCTGAAAGACAGTTCTACTGGTCAAATACAAAATGTAGACACAACAAAAAGCACAATCATTATATGTTTTTTGTTAGCACAAAATGTATTCTTGAATGTATTCTTGTCAACCTTATCAAATCTCTGAGCATAGATTATACATGTATCATATTATGTATTAACACAATATTGTTCCTTTTTTTATATTCCAAGCAGAGTTCTGAAGAACAACGACCTTCTTCTTCGAAGAAACCACATTTGACCTTGACCAGTGGGTTCAGCTGGGGAGAGGAGCTGGAGGTGTCCAAGGTCGCCGTAAAGGACAGTGAGAGTGAGGACGAGGATGACCCTGACACAGAAATCTCACAGGTACACCAATTTATACATTTTATTTGTTTCTTTATTTAATCTCAGGACAGCTGGGTGGCCCCATTCAGCCTTTAATTATAGCTGTTTTCCGAGGGGGCCCAGCATGTTACAAGACACAGTTAGATGAATTATAAACTGTTCACACTTCAAAAGTAAAACAAAAACATACACATACTGTACCTCCCAAAGATAAACTTGATACATAGTATTACATGTACATTGTACTTTCTTTTGTAGTATGATGTTCTTTACATGTAGTTGCAAGCCATGTTATGGGTATATTGTAATCATATACTAGTACCACATGTACATGTGTATTTGTGTCATACCTAGACTACGTTAATGTCCAATACAGGATTTGCTGCTCGTGTGACAACTACATGTACAATGTAGCTGTATCATACAGGGTTTTAACAGTTACACCGTGTAGTATACATTGTACACGTCATGTATGATTATGTACATGCTTTTTCATGAATGAAATTCAGGAAGAGTAGCTTTTTTATTCTAATCTACATGTATGGGTAATGCTTCTCCAATGAAAGAAATCACACAAGTCATAATCATCATAAAATGTCACATCACAAATGAATAGGGTCACAATTTTACTGGGCTTTCAACTCACGTACATTTTGTTTGCCTAGAGGTACTAGTAAGTTTACGGGCCATTTTATAGAAACAAACATCTTCAATTGTCACAATAAAACATTAAATTTTGTTTTCTTCAAAATTAAACAAGAACTTGGATATACAAAAGTATGTAACTTTGTATGCCTTGTGATGGTTTACAAAGTTAACAAACACACTTATCACTGTGACAATAAAACATAGACTCATGTCTTCAAACTGACTCGTCAACACAATTACATGTATTAAGTTTCTTTTTTTATTAACTTCAAAGAACTTCAAGAACTTCAAAGTCAGTACTTGCCATGGCTTGTGACTTTGTACTTGTCTAAGGGGAAACAGTGGCACTCACTTCACACATATATGTAGCCTCCGTGGAGCAAAAACCAGTAGCCCACTGGCCTTGGTGTCCGGGGATCATTGCCAGTCCAACACAGTCATCGTTGGGGTCCTGAGCTGAATGATGCCATTGTCCCCAGTTGGACCAGCTGAGTGGTGTCCCATCCTCCCACACAAAGGTTCCCTCTGTCACCAGGTCTGTCAGTCCAATCCAGAAGCCAGGGACATTCTTAGTGCTCATTTGTTTGACCAGGAAGTCGTTTGTTGGCTTGTCTTTAGGCATAGCCAGGTGCCCGCCCACAGCCTGGCAGGCAGACTTGGCATTAGTGTAGTTCTTCCCAACGTCGTCATGCCATTTGTAGCACCTGTCCAGGAACTGTACATAGCCACTGGGACACACCAGTGTCTTGTTACAGCAGGCTGCAGGGTAGAGGATAAGAAAATACTTCATGCTAAATAACTACAATTGTGTTTGAATGATGTTTCCAGTCTGACCTTTTGACTCGGACCTGAATTTATGTTCATAATTATGATTTCTGTACCTTTTTGGCTGCCACAGACTTTTAGCCTGTTTGTTTATGTGTTTATGCGAATAAACCAGTCATCATCATCATCATGTTAGTTGCCTTGTCTTTAGACTTGGCGTCAGTGTAGTTCTTCACATCATGCCATTTGAAGCACCTGTCCAGGAACTGTACATAACCACTGGGACACACCAGCAGGCTGCAGAGCATAGAGAGGATAGAAAATACAGAGTACTTCATGCTACATGACTACAGTAAGCCTTAAAAATAGCCGGAAGTCTCAGAGATTTTCTTTTCAGAGGCACTGTGTGAATATGCAGTTCCATTGTATTACTAATTAATATTAGTAAACCTTAGCACTGTGTGAATATGCAGTTCCATTGTATTACTAATTAATATTAGTAAACCTTAGCCTATTAGTAACCTAAACTCTTAGAAAACCTCCTTTCCCATCTATTGCCAAATTAAGTCCCCCCCCCCTGCAGAAAAAATAAGGTGTATGTGATTATTGTACAGTGCACTTTTTTAGCTCTAATTCTAAAACTTGCAAGCTATACTACCGGGGTAATAATTTTATAGTTTGCACTGATGCACTTTAATTTAGGTTTAGCTGTTAATTTATATTGTACGGTATTGTATTAATGTGAAAGATTTACCTTTCTTATGGAGCCAGAACTCAGTGGTCACATTACTGAGCTGCTCCTGTAAGTCAGCGTTCTGCTTCTGCAAGTTGGGTATGGTGATGAGTTTCAGTTCCATCACCTGGCCCTGCAACTCAGCAAGAAGGGCCTCCTGGAATGCAAATACTGCTCTTACTCTTAGTCTATTTTTGAAGAAAATTTTCCATAAAAAACAGTGAAAGGACAGGAAACAGACCGACATGTACATACATGTACAATGTAGCACCTACCTGACTGGTAGCTGACGTGGCCCCTCCTCCCAGGTTAAACCCATGGCCAGGCAGGTTGATGTTAATGTTGACAGGGCCGTTCCCAGACTTTCCATCAGTCACCTCCCCTGAAGCCTGCAGCAGAGGCACCAGGACTGCCAGGGTCACAAGCACTGCTTTCTTGTTCATGGCTTCTTTTTTTTTAAAGAATCTTCGTGCACAAGAATCTGTAGCCTACAGGCAACTTTTCCAACTGCGCCACTGCCGTCTCACAAGGGAATGTTGTATGATACGCTTGTTGACATTACCAATGTAGTTCAACTTCAATGCCATCTCCCACAAAAGCGTCTGGAACGTAGACTGGTGGTTTTGTTTGCAGCTCTGGGTTGGGGCAAGGAAGAAGGTCACTAAAGACATCTGAAACTCAACATATTGTTAACATTTTAATAGTTGCTTGCTGGGGGGAGGTTCCTTTGCAATAGTTCATGTTCTAGTACACAATGTCATGTATTTCTACACCGTAAACGATAAAAGCCTCTGAAACTTAAGACTGGTGGTTTTGTCCACCATTTTGAACTTGGGGCAAGGGTGTACATGTATAGAGAGATTAGGTCAATAGAGTGACAGATACAGATACATCATGCCTTCGACACTTAGCAGTTTTTTTTACCTTTGGCTCACAGAAAGGTGAATACATGATTGTACATGTTAAGTGTTACACTTACATTATGTACACTCATTCTGGGTGTAGAATGTTTTTCATTGTTTTTAGAACTTTGAGAAGTGTACTTTTATTCAAAGAGATATATCTGAAGAGAAAGATTGATGTAGGCTAAGCAGCCATGTAATTTTTGCCATCAAAAAGCCTGTTTGTCTTAAACTTTGTTTCTTCCACAGCCTCCAAAGAAGAAGTCCAAAAAGGAAAGGGAGGAAGAGAGAAAGGCCAATGATAAGAAGTTGTACAAGGTAAGACAAGACATTTCATCTTTTTCTTTTCCGAGCTGGTATTAGGCACAAAATAATTTATTAGTCATTTTGTACATTATTTTGTACTAGATTGTACCTTGAAAATGAGTGCCAATATTGCTGCTAAAGACAAGTAAAAATGGTCTAAGCATGATACATTCAAAATTATGTTGAAGGTTAGACATCCAGGTAATACAAAACCAGAGGGGAAATGGCAAATGCAGGTTTATAAGCACAAACTCTGGTCTCTCAGTCACTGACGAAAGCTAGTGGATGATACCTGAAACGTCTGACCGTTTAACTTTAAACATTATAAATTATAATAGTAAAACGTCAAACTTTATTCCAACACACAGTTTACAGAGATCTTGCGAGATCACGTTGTGAAGTGATTGGTCATTAATTATCCAGATGAAGGCAACAGTGATCACTGAAAATTTGATCTCTGTAAACTGTGTGTTGGAATAAAGTTTAACGTTTTACTATGATTACTACCAACACAGATGAACTTTCATGATAATCTAAACATTATTGTTGTGGACCCCCAGGCAGAGTTGGCCCTACTGGACGAGGACCGTGCTCCCCAGTCTGCGGATGATTTTGACCGTCTGGTGCTGAGTTCTCCGGACAGCTCCATCCTCTGGCTGCGCTACATGGCCTTCCACCTCCACTCCACCGACATTGACAAGGCCCGCACCGTCGCAGAGCGCGCTCTCAAAACCATCTCATTCAGGTGGGCACCAGGAGATGTGTATGCTTTGGATGACTAAAAATAATTGTAGCCTGGTATCCAAACCTATTTTAGGCCACACCAATTTTTTTCAGAAAAAATATGAAGCGACAGGGCCAAAAAAAAAAAAAAAAAACAGGCCAAGGCACCCCATGATAGCCGGAAATGTTACAATATGAGCCATGAAGGGAACATACCAGGCTGGTTTATGATTAAAACAATAGATTTTGAACTTTTAATGAAACAAAATTGCATTGTTACATTGAAAAACTTAAACAACTAGGAAGAAAAGGACTTTCTTCAACCATTGGGGCCAAAATATGTCTTTCATTGAGCATTTTGCAGTTGATTTAGAACAAAAAAAACTTCTTTTTTTTGCAAATCAGAAAAAAATGGACAGGACAAATCCGAGAAACAACCAATTAAATTTGTGTTATTCAGCATGTTTTTGTACAGGCTGCGAGGCTGGTTTTTATGAATAAACTGTTACATTTCAGGGAAGAGAAGGAGAAGCTGAATGTGTGGGTGGCTCTGATGAACCTGGAGAACATGTACGGTACCGAGGAGTCCCTCATGGCCGTGTTCCAGCGAGCACTGCAGCACAACGACGCACTCACCATCTACAAACAACTCGTCAACATCTACAAACGCACGGACAAAACAGAGGCAAGCATAAAAGTTCATCTGTGTTGGTACATTAGTCATTATGAAATAAAGACTAAACTTTCTCTGCCAACACTGGTCCAGGAATGAATTGGGACTTATCCCAAATTTTCGGCTGACTCCTTCAACCTTGTTCATGGAATGGACCTGTCTACTATTGGAAAATCTACTCTTGGAGCATTCCAAGACGGGTCCATTCTGCGAACAAGGTTGAAGGAGTCAGCCGAAAACTTGGAGTAAGCCCCGGTTCATTCCAGTGTTGGTACACATGTAGAGAAAGTCATTTCAACACAATGATGCACTCACCATCTACAAAACAGGCAAGTCCTGGGGTCCCGGCTTCGAGTCCTGACATACCACTGAACTTGTGTCCTTGGGAAAGGCACTTTACAGGACTTTCCTCACTTAACTCAAGTGAAAATGAGTACTGTCTGTCCTGTATTTGTTTCTATGGGTTTGATTTCTTTTCTGTGTGCATTGAAGTATAAGATACCTGATTTTATGCGAGATGTATGAATTGGGAGGTGTTAATACTGTAGCAATGCAAGTTTTTGTAGGCTGGAAAGGTGAATAAAGCTAGGGAACAGTTTGATGACCATTTCAAATATTTTTTTATTCATATCATTTCAATCAACAGCTATCATGAAAGTTCATCTGTGTTGGTAATTACATGTTTAAAGTTAAAACTTTTGGTCCAACACAAAAAATTCTCTCACCTAGAGCTTTCGACCTTTCACTCTGGTCTTCCTCAGTAGACTGACCCAGTGAAGCTTGTCACGTGGCTTCTTAGAAGTGTGATGTCAACACTGGGTCAAAGGTATCTGGTAGACGATGTCGGCCCCCGTCGCGGTTCAATGTAGGGTGATGGGCCCTGATGTAAATGGCTTCCTTCACCCCTCTCAAGAAATAGTCTTGTTCAGTCAACAACTATTAAGAGAATTTTTCCTTGTTTTGTACAGGAAGCGGACCAGCTGTACGTCGCCATGGTGAAGCGTTTTCGTGGCAACAAGGAGGTGTGGATCAGCTACGGGCGGTTTCTTATGGAGAAGAAGCGAGCGGACGCGGCACACATCCTCATGCAGAGGAGCCTCAAGAGTCTAGACAACAGGGATCGTGAGTGTGTCTCTGTTGTAGGGTTAGGGGAGGTTGATTTGATGTGGCCAAGCCTTTAAAGACTGGTGACTGGACAGCCAGACACACAGAAACTGGTGTGATTTCGTCGAGAATGACAGACAAACAAGAACAACAATAACAGCAGGATTTAATGCAGGATTTGATAAATTGAAGGAATAGTTGAGTAGCTAGGGTATGGACGCGAGATCAAAAGGCTACGGGTTACATGATCTTTTCTAGTTCCGTATACTGACACTTGAGTGGTGAAACGATGTACAATCGGTTTCCCAACATCAACCTTGAAACTATAAGTGTCCTCTTGCAAGTTTAAAAAAACTGTATTGTATTATATAAGTTGGATCACTATTTCAAGTCCTGACTAAGGACAGATACATGTGTATAGCAGTTAAGCTCTTTGCCACAGATTAAGACAAATTGAAAAAGTACTGGATCTTCTCCCCCCAGATCTGGAGGTGATTTCCCGGTTTGCTGTGATGGAGTTTAAGCTTGGTGACGTGGAGAGGGGGAGAACCATGTTTGAGAACATCCTGAGTAACTATCCCCGACAGGTGAACGTCTGGTCAGTCTACCTGGAGATGCTGATCAAGACTGGAGATCTGGACCAAGTCAGGTAGGAACTAAAGGTTCTGGGTTCAAATCCCAGTCAGAGTTAAGTTTGAGAACATCCTGAGCAACTATCCCCGATAGGTGAACGTCTGGTCTGTCTACCTGGAGATGCTGATCAAGACTGGAGATCTGGACCAAGTCAGGTACGAACTAAAGGTTCTGGGTTCGAATCCCTGGTAGGTCCTGGTCTTGTGCCATTGGGAAAGGCACTTTGCATCAGTTTTCTTACTAGACTCGGGAGAAAATGAGTACCTAACTTCAATTAGGGACATCCTCTTGGATGGGATGAGATCCCTTGCTTGAGGAAAGCCACTGAGTTGAGTATATGTTAAGAGCTCATCCCACCACACTCATTGATGATATTAGGGCTCCTTCCTTTTGTGAGAAGGATCAACCCTATCATTCAAAGTTGCCCATTTCCTAATAAAAGTTCTCAGTATCAAAACAGATTTGTTAAAGCACTAGCCCAAAATTTCAACTACAAAATTAATACAAACTCCAACTACATTGCTACATAACTGTATATGCCCTTGTATTCATGTCTGTTTTATTGATTGATTGATTGATAAAATCATCAGGTGATTGATTGGTTAATTGATTGGTTGATTGATTGATTGATTGATTTCTGTTCTCTAGGCTTGCCTTTGACCGAGTTACCGCCCTGAACCTCAGCACTAAGAACATGAAGGGTTTCTTCAAGAGGTACCTGGAGTTTGAGAAGAAATATGGAGACGAGGACACCGTTTCTGCCGTCAAACGCAAAGCCATCGAGTACGTGGAGACAAAAGCTGGAGATGTGGCAACAACGTGAGACACTAAATGGCAGATAAAGCTGGCATCACACTGTCGTCAACTTTTTATGGAGCTTGTTGATCAACAGAATATTCATAGCCTCCGTAGCAGGCTTATACAGTAGAACTGGGGGTTTGGTGGTCTTCTGCTGTTTTCTGATTAGCCCAGTTCTAACGGGGGTAATTCAACCAGGCCGGCTATGTTGTCTAATGAAATCAGAAAATATAGCACATAAAAGCTCCCACAGACCATGAAGACCCCCAAAACCTCCAGTATTTTTTGGCATGCTATGGAGGCTAAGATATTCAAACAACATTCAAAATTGCCATTTATTTTTTGCCTGAAAATCTGTTACATTGAATGGAGATCTGTGAATATCAGCTGATCTCTAGAAATCAGACAGCAAATGAGAGAACACTGGCCTTATTGCTGCCAAAATGTTGTTTAGTGCAAGCTACTGCCCAGCTGTGTAATGCCAGCTTAAAGACAGCTCAGTTCAGTTCTGTTCAGTTGAGTTCAGTTGAGTTTTCTTTAAATTTCCTTATCCTGTTTAAGTGACACCTTGAAGGATCTCTACATCGTTATAGATTCTTAGGACACTTGATTGATAAGCATCAAACATCTTTGAATCCAAATCCAACTTAAGGCGCGGATGAATTTTACATCAGTGTTAAGGTTTTGATATTTTTTCTAATTATCTAACTATGGTAGTAACCTGGGTGTCTTCCTAGTTGTATTCAGGGGCTCCCATACTCACTATTTTTCTTTTACGATGGCACCCAGGCAACAATAGTAGCACAGAACTGCAAAGAAAAGTAAATTGGAAACAAACAGCAAGAACAAGGTGTAAAATTGTAATGAAGTACAACATGTTACTGTTACGGGTTGAATGGAATTGTCGATATTACATTTAAGTGCAACTGGGAAAATAGTCTTGGCATTCATAATTTGATTTGCATAAAAGAGTACAGAAAGATTTTGACACATTCATGATACATTGTAACAGACTGAGTAATACTATATAAATTATTTAGAGTAATCTTTACACTCTTTTGGAATAACTAAAATTAATGTATGTACTTTTGGTATCTATTCAATAATTCATAAAAAAAGCTTTAAATCAGACACATCTAAGTTGCCATTGGTCATTTGCCACAGTTTTTTCTAGTTTCCTAGCAAGGACAATATAGTCCTTCTCCTGCCTAATCCCCTAAACAATAGATAGTTGTTAGCCAAATGACTACTTATTGTGCTAAATGTTAAAAAGCATAGTTGCTCTAAAGAACAAGATATTGGGGTAGAAAATCGTAATGATTTCGGACCAGCTTTTCTGATGTCACCTGTCATTACAATTTTTCTACCCAAACATCTGCTTCAAGATTACCTATTTTGGTGTCTAGTTGTTATGACCACACTAAGAACTGAATGGGCAGAACTAAGAGTATACTATTTAAGTAAAGTCCTGGAGTTGGGTTTGTTCACTGGCTTCTACCAGGCTTCAGGAAGAAGCTGCATGGAAAGAGGAGAAATTGGCCAAATAGATAATATGCCAGGGGAGTTGGTCTGTGCTAAGAGAACACTTTGCCCTCAAACTTTCTTTCCAGCCACTTGCCGAGGCCTGATAGAGGCTAGTTGTTCACTGGAGTTGCAGTTGTTCATTTTTCACTCTCCAGAAGGATTTTATCAACAAGAGTCTACATGAACCTAGCAGTTCTCATGACTTATCAAGAAGGCAGCTGGTGTGTTACGCCAAAAGGCAGTTATACCGGCTATACAGATACAGAAGCTGGTGTGCTACGCCGAAGGGCAGTTATACCGGCTATACAGATACAGAAGAACTAAATGGGCAGACAAGTGGGTAGTGGTGTCCTGGGCATCCACGTGCCCTGTGTACCACAGACATAGCGGAAGAGCGCCCCCTGTGGAGTGTACCCATCACTGCAGGTCAGGTCACAGAACTGCCCCAGCCTCCACCAGTCGCACGTGAGGCTGCCGTGGTCAGGGGAGGGCAGAGGCGGGCAGGCAGGTTCTGTAGAGAGAGAGAGTTTTTTTTTAAATATTTTTTTATTGAAACATACAGAGACAAGACGTGGTGGCGACACACTCAAGTTACACTTATATTCATGTCGCCACCAGACAATACGTAATACAAGCAAGCAAAGCACGAGTTATAATATAGAAGTTGAATACAATGATTAATCTAATCTTAAGAGAGAGAGTTAAGATAGCTTCATACATACTGATAAAGGATGCACATCTAGAACAATGTGATACAAAATACATCAACTGGCCAGGTAATTGTTCTATGGTAATGAAGACCTAAATTAAAGATAGCGTTGTTTTATGACAGTGTATGTGACTGGTTCTACAGATACAGATTCAGATACCCGCCATACAAATACCGGCTATACAGATACAGATACCCGTCATACAGATACCGGCTATACAGATACAGATACCCGTCATACAGATACCGGCTATACAGATACAGATACCGGCTATACAGATACAGATACCGGCTATACAGATACAGATACCGGCTATACAGATACAGATACCGGCTATACAGATACAGATACCGGCTATACAGATACCGGCTATACAGATACCGGCTATACAGATACAGATACCGTCTCTACAGATACAGATACCGGCTATACAGATACAGATACCGGCTATACAGATACAGATACCGGCTCTACAGACACAGATACCGGCTATACAGATACAGATACCGGCTATACAGATACAGATACCGGCTATACAGATACAGATACCGGCTATACAGATACAGATATCGGCTATACAGATACAGATACAGATTGAAGTGCTTACTTTTGACGTGAATGTTGAACCTGCAGACTGCATGGTTGCCCGCCTGGTCCCGAGCCGTGTACCGGACACTGTACTGGCCCCACGTCATGCGGCCTTTAGGGAACCTGCTTCGCCTTACAGCTGCTATCCCTGCCAGGACATTTATAGCAGAGTTTGTAATGGCCATGAACACATTGGGGTTTGTTAACTTTTGATTTAATTTCGATCACAATTTAACCGGAGGACCTACGTTTCCTGCAAATGCAGATGTAACGGAGGGTCATGGAGAATAGTAAAGGTATGAAAAAATGAAAAGCACAAGCTTGGATTCGAAGCCTTGTCAAAAAGCGTAACTCTAAAACCCTAACCTATACCCTAACCCTCTACGACACAAAACATCATGGTGTGGACGGACCGTGTTGATACTCTTAGAGTCAGCCGTTCTGTGACCGTATTGACTGTTTACGAGACCAAAATTAGCGTCGGCGTCCCAGAGACGACAGGGATGGTACATGTATTATACGTTCCTGTCACTGAGTAGCTTCTTATCTGATTTTCAAAACCTTGGAAAAGAAAGAAAAACGCTAATACTGTATCGTGTAGGTTCACCTACCGACGTTGTCCCGGACCTCTGGTTTCTCCCAGTGCACGTGTGGGAACTGTCGGGAGCTGTTCACCTCGAAAGACTCCGGACAACTCACAAACTCAGGGTGCTCGTCGTCTGGAAGGATAATGTACACAAACTACCGTCAAAACTGTACAAGTGTGGGACGTTAAATGGAGGTCCCGTGTTTGGTGACAACCACACCCCACGCACTTAAAAAAACCCACCGCACTTATCGAAAAGAGTAGGGGACCTTCCCGGTGTGAGTGGTTCAAACCTTACAGTCTGGTCTTACGCAGCTTGTACATGTACGTACATGTACAAAATTGGTGTGTTACGCCTAAAGGCGGTTTACCGGTTTTGCAAAACAAACAAAAGAATGGAATGTTCAATTGTTTGTACCCACCTGTAACCACCACAGCTGTCTCACACTCTATCCTCTCCACACCAGCCGAGTAGCCGTAAAACAGCACTGGAGTCTCCCCCACACTGAAGTTGTTCGGTCCCAGCGTCAAATTCCCATCAACAAAGATCTGGTGGCATACAATGTAGTGACGTTGTGCTTAGACTCAAATCTCTAACAAGCCCAAATGCGACGGGGGCCGGCATCGTCTACCAGATACCTTTGTGTTGACATCACACTTCAAAGAAGTCACGTGACAAGCATCACTGGGTCAGTCTACTGAGGAAGACCAGAGTGACTGGTCGAAAGCTCTAGGTTAGAGAATTTTTTTGTGTTGGACCAAAAGTTTTAACTTTAAACAAGGGCCTAATGTTGTGCTCTAGGAATGGCTATACACCTATAGGCTTAGTTTGATTTTCTTATAATGCCCATGATCATGATAATGGTCATTCTGGCATACTCAAAGTGAGAAGTGTCGTGGCAGGATTTGAACCCAGAACCTCTTGGTTCTGAGTCGAATGCTCTGTTGTTATCCCATACAACCCCACATTGCCTCGCTCGACTCAACTGTACCAACATGAGTACTTTGCTCTGGTTAGAAACCCCCTCCTAGACTGGATAGGACGTAAAGTCGGAGGTCCCATATTTGAGGAGAACCACACTTTGCGACTAGAGCAAGGGCCCTGTTTGAGAGGAGCTAGCCTTTCTAGTCTGTCCGTCCGAATTCCACGGCTTGTATGTTATTTATATACAACCTATCTAATATGGTCTTACACGGCTTTTATGTTATGTATATACAACCTATCTAGTCTACTCTTCCACGGCTTGTATGTTATGTATATACAACCTATCTAGTCTGGTCTTTCATGGCTTGTATGTTAACTATATACAGCCTATCTGGTCTTCTACGGCTTGTATGCTAACTATATACAGCCTATCTGGTCTTCCACGGCTTGTATGTTATGTACATACAACCTATCTAGCCTGGTCTTCCACAGCTTGTACCGTATGCGTATACAACACTGGTGTGTAACGGCTTACTGGTTATGTGGACGACCAAGGAAACACACAGACCTGTTGTAAGTTGGTGAGGGGTGCTGTGAGGTTCGCAGTGGCGTAGTCTCTCCCGGGGCTGGTGGACACGTGAAGTCTGTGGGGACACTGCATCCAAGGGTCTTCATCTTAAAAAGGGTTTAATATGTAACCTTGAATGAGTATCGTCAAGTATTATATCAAGTAATATTGAAGATGAGTTGTATCCAAACCGCACTGTGTCCAGAACCATGCTCAGGCACGGTTCATAGCTAACCCTGTGGTACTGTCCTTGGTGCTGAACTATTACACCACAGCACACTCTGTGTGTTTAGTCATTTGTTAAACCTTCATGACCATGTAGATTTCAAATTGAAGGCATCTTTTTTGGGCCAAACGTTTTCTTTATTTGTAAACTCGCATCAGTTTGTGGTTCCCAAGGGATGTCATCCATATAATGAAATCAACATGGCCTAAGTAACTCTTTTGACCACCTTACCTGGAATGCATGCGGGCGCTCCTAGATTGTCCCAGCCCATGGTCCCATTTGGTCCCGGGGTGCCCCAGACCATGGGACCGTTGTGTCCCGGGGTGCAGGTTAACCGGTCTGCAGATTCTCTTCAGCATGGGTACCATCCTGGTTTGCTTACCCCCGTCGCATTTGGCAACTAGCTATATTACGTTACCTGGATAATTAGCAATAGTACGTTACCTGGAATGCATGTGGGTGTGTCTAGATTATCCCAGACCATGGTCCCATTTGGTCCCGGGGTGCCCCAGCCCATGGTCCCGTTGTGTCCCGGGGTGCAGGTTACCCTGTGTGCGGTCCCGTTGAGCACCAGTCCCGGTCCGCACACGTACACGCACTCCTTCCCGACCCGCAGCGCGCCAGGGTCCGCACACGACGGCGGCGACAGCGATCCGTTACTAGGCGGGGTCAGTACGTCACACAGCTTAGCTACCAATGAAAAGACGAGGATACATTAAAAACTAGAAAGGGCATAATGTTTACCTTCGGACATCGTCTGCTCTGTTAATTCTTACTCATTCACATTACACATTCACATACATGTACTACTAGTATATGGTGACAGGAGCAGAGAAGACCATGAAATTGCAACATTATGTAACCCAACACCAGTCACCATGGTGACAGACGTCAACAAATCATGTCATTGGTCATGCAGGACATCTCGTCTGCAGTTTCCAAATGTTATGTTGGAAAATATATCGTCTGCAATAGGTAAAATTCAAATGCAACGACGTTGACCAAACATCCAACGAAAACCGGGAAAAACCAAGGTTTCACGCAGTTGCTGTACGTTCTGCCGACGTGCTGGAATACCTTACCCCTGCAGTCAGCATGCTCTCCTTCCCAGGATCCGTTGATCAGACACGTTCGATTCTCGCTGCCGACGAGCTCGTACCCAGGGTCACAGGAGAACGTGCACCGCTGTCCTGCGCGTGCGCCGTTGGTGGAACAGTTCTCGGCCGGGTCGACTGACCCTCCCCCTGGGGCCGCCAGTCCGTAACAGTGGATCTCTGAGGAGATTAGGAGAAAAATTAAGTCCTTCTAACACCACATCAAATGGGCAGCGCAAATCTTAGGCCTTGTACCACACAGCCACATCAACCCTGGAGGGCCAGGGGGCCCAGGGGGGCCGCCAGACACAGGGCCAGGTGGTCCAGACGGCCCCATGGGCCCCATTTCTCCTGGTGGCATAAAATTCACGTGGCATTTATAATCAGTTACAATTTTGATGAATGAAGATTATATTGAGCAATACACACACACACACACACACACACATATATATATATATATATATATAGCGTTATTATTATTGATATGTATCATTAGTGTGAGTTATATTTGGATGAAGATTATATTGATCAATACACACACACACACACACACACACACACACACATATATATATAGCGTTATTATTATTGATATGTATCATTAGTGTGAGTTATATTTGGATGAACAACCCTACATCGTTACCATCAATATATGTGACAATTTTCACGTGTGTCAATATATGTTTTGTACCTTCACAAGTCGTCCCGTCCCGCTGAAGCACGTACCCCTCCTGACATGCGCAGTGATATCCGCCCACGTAATTGGCGCACTCCTGTTGGCAGCCGTGGTCACGTGACGCGCATTCGTCCACGTCTGATGACAAGAAAAGATACAAGTTACGATTCCAGCATGTCAATTTTTACGTGGGTTTGACCTGCTTGCTTTTAATGGATTGTGAAGATATTTGGTATGTGGGTAGGTCCTGCAAACATAAAGAGGCAAGGCGATTTTGGGCCTCCTAGCAACTTTGTTGGTACTGCAGCAGAACATTTTGCACTTCACAAATAAGTCAAAATTTTTGGACTAGAGGCTGTATGCCAAACATACGTTTCTCTGCTACCTTTTATTTCTCGGTGCTGATTTTGTTTCAAGTTTGTCATAATTTCAGCATAATTTTGTACGTTTTATTTATTATCATTATTGCTAAAAGTAATAATAATAATAATTATTATTTTATTTCATGTTGCTGGACTCCAGGAAGAATATTATGGAATTTACCATACTAATGGAGATCTCAATAAACAAACAAACAAACAAACAAACCTACCTTTACATGTGTAGCCGTCCCGTCTGAGTTTGAAGCCGTCGTAACAGGAACACTCAAACGCTCCCGGGGTGTCCGTACACAGGTGCTCACAGCCGCCATTCCCCTGCGCACATTCGTTAGTTTCTGGGAAAACAATGCAAGGGTTCTTTATTATTATTATTATTCAGAAACACATGTCTGATGATTACAAATGAAAAGACATGGACTAAGTGACTCCGAAGTCCGAACTCCAGTTAGGAACAACTTATATTCTCGCAGCCACTTTTACAATGGAAGAAAAATATTTTACAAGACATTTGAAAATACACGAAACCTCTCCTGAGTAACAAACCTCCCGTCCCAGAAGACACATACATGTACAGTTAGAATCGTTTTGTTTCTGTTATATAATTTTGTGCGGCTAACATTATTTTGCAGTTGATATCATGCGAATAAAGGAAACTACCACGAAGAACTAAATGCTGTATAGAATTGTCAGAAAGGGTGTTTAAATCAAGGGTTCTGACAAAAAGGTCTAAACGTTCAGGCCAACACTGAGTAAAAAAAGAAATTACAGATCATAAACAGTTACGTCAGTAATGTATTTTACTTTTAATAATGACGTCATCATACATGTACCTGTGCAAGTCTTCCCGTCATCGCGAAGATGATGGCCTTTCGGGCATGCGCAGTAGGCCCCTCCGATCAGGTTGACACAGCGATGCGAACAGCCGAAATTTTCCTTAGCGCACTCGTTAATATCTGAGAGATAGGATATCATGCAATATTAGTAAAATCAAAAATTTTGAACAGACAAAAATCTAGTTTGTTTTTACTCATTTACATAACCAGTTGATATATGGAAGTATGTGTACAAGAAATTGCTACTCATTCACAAGCAACTGGATAGATTTTGACAACTGGCAAATGTTATATGTAGCATCTACTTAGTTTCTTGTCGTCAGTGACTAACGGTGAAGTAGACACTGAAGAAAAGTAGTGGATGCTACTTGCTTGAAACGTCTGAAATTTTTCAAAATCTATCCAGTTGCTTGAGTAACAATATCCTTGTGTATCTTTCGCATGAAAGGTATCTGTTTTGGTATATTTCATTGTGACAAAAAAGCTAAACGTTCTATCCAACACTAAGTCAATTGGGACATGGGACATATCCTTGTGTATCTCATTACCTGGATGTCTAATCTTCATCGATGAATCTATGTTTTAGGAGAGGGCTTCTTATAAGCATTATGTTTCTCCCAATCCTCAACAACATAAACATAAGCACCTGAACATAGATGAAGTGCATTCTGTACCTGAACAGTGATACCCATCGCTATCCAGAGAGAACCCCCGGTGACAGCCGCAGGTGAAGCCGTCCTTCAGTTTCACACATTTCTGCTGGCAGGCAAAGACGTCAGGCTGGTCTGTACACACTACCATGTCTGGAAATACATTTTTGTTATATTCCAACATATAATCACAAGACGTGGTGACGGCACACTTAAGTTTTTTTAATATCAATGCCGCCACCAACACAGGGACGGTACAATTCACACATTCAGAACCTTCCCCCGAACACCATTCCGAACAAGTTCTGGAGCAGTGTTACCCGCTTATGCTTCAAAACAAATCGATTCGAATTTGAGTTAAATTTAAATCAAACTTGACTGCAAAATCCCAGCTTTTGTCTAAATGCACCAAATTTGGCACATATGTATTTGAAGATTTAGACAAAAGTGCACAATTTTTCAGCTAAGCCGCTGGAATAATTACGCTACACTCTTTATATTTCCATGATGAAATGAGATGGAAAGACACAAACAAACTCACCACATTCATACAGCCTGTTGATTTTCAGAGTGTCGATGTCACTCAGCCCGTTTCGCTGTCCTAACCACTTGAAGTTGGCCTCCCCCAGTCTGGGTTCGATAGTGATTTTCCCGCTCTTGCCGAAGGCGTCGGTAGGATAGTGCATGACGGAGTGGTAGTCGTACGTCGTGTCCAGTGTCTGGCTGTTGATTCTGGTGAGTCTGTCAAAGTTCCCGTAATAATAGTCTTTTTCTCCATTTCTTCCTGCATGGAAAGGTTTTTTTTAGTCTTAAACGACATGAAGCCAATAGAATCTGTTGATACATACGTTGTACCAATACACAAGTGGCCTGTATAAACCGGATTCCTGATGCTTGGGTCAAAAATAATATACCTAGGCTAGAATAATCTCTTTCTCCTTCTCTTTGTCTCTCTTTCTCTATACCTCTCTCTGTTTTTCTCTGTCTCTCTCGGGCTTTCTTTTTTGTATTGGTATTTTCTGTGCCAACTCGAAAAAAGGCCTAAAACACGCTAAAACTCTTAGCAAACGACCAAACCTCTTCTTGGAGAGTAAATATATACGACAGTCTGTTCCCTTACCAGGCTTGACGTTGTCCAAGTATATGGTGACGAAGTTATCCCTGTCGTACCGGCTCTGCTCGTGCCAGAACCCCAACGCGTGCATAAACTCGTGAACGGCGATTCCCTTCGTCTCACAGCCGCTATCCAGGGAAATTCTGTTCGGCTGGCTTCCGACACGTCCGATATACGACCAGCACCTGAGGTTTCCAAAAGATAGTCTCATCAGGTTTCTGTATCTGCAGCTACGTGTAGTAATCATATTATCTGCCATGCATTGTATCTGTTATAATCGTTGTGCAATAAATTTGACTTGACCTGTATCGGTATAGCCGGTATAACTTACTCCAATTATAAGTCTTCATCAAGTTCATGAACTCAACTTGATGAAGACCTACTCCCAATATAAGTCTTTATCAAGTTCATCAACTCTGATGAACTTGATAAAGACTTACTCCAATTATAAGTCTTCATTAACTCTGATGAACTTGATGAAGACCTACTCCTAGCCATGTTGGGGGGGGGGCGTTCGGCTAGTGTTTGCTCGGGACCAAATTCGTGGATGTGTGACAGGGCCGGGGGGTATAACTGCAGTACACAATGTCACCTTGGGACGTCACAACACATCATACTTCGGATTCTGTAAACTAAACCGCGCTCCTGACGAAGGTTGGGGTGTGGGTCATTAACCTCCGGCCGAGAGAGCTTGTGTAACACAGGCTACCCCTTAGGTACATAATACCTGCTGCTGCATGGAAGAAAAAGCAAAGAAAATTGGTCGTAGTAAAATCATTCTTTATTCACAAACAAAAGAAAGAAACATTGATCCCAGGTCACATCGGCCATAACTGACCGAACATGCAGGGAGACATTACACATACATGTATGACACTATACAAATACATCAGGACATACAATATTGCACTGTTTCCTTAAATATTGCACTGTTTTCATTAAAATTATCACAAGAATTTTTAGACTTTGGCTTAAAAATATTTTCAAGATATTTTTACGGCAGACTAATCCAGCCGCACATTCACACCACGTGTCGCCTTGCATCGGCAAGATTAGTCTGACCCAGTATTGACGAAAGGTAATAAAAAACGAATAGAACAAAACGAGCGTCCCTGACCCTTCTGTGCCACGTACACGAGGACTTGTAACGCCTTGTTTTTATATTCCAACATTTCATGACCAAACATGGCGACTGCACACTCAAGATATATCAACTTATTTTATGCCGCCACCAACGCAGAGAACGAATTCAGGACAAGACAATACTCATTTTCACTTAAGTTAAGTGAGGAAAGTCGTGTAAAGTGCCTTTCCCAAGAGCACAAGCTCGGTGGCATGTCAGGATTCGAACCCGGGACCTATTAATTCCGAGTCGAGCACTCAGCCGCTAAGCCACGCGACCCAACGAGCGTCCTTGAGCCGTTTGTGCCATGTACACGTGGGCTTCTGACGCCTTGTGCCACTGAAATAGTCATTGCACACCACTTGTCACCACGTGTTAGTAAAATTAGTCTAACCCAATTGACAAATGGTAATAAAAAACGAACAGAACGAAACGAGTGTCCCTGACCCTTCTGTGAGACGTACACGTGGATGCCTTGTTCCAAAAAATCCTTGCACCATTTTAACACCCGCTTATCACGTTTTGCCATGTGCCAGTATACTTAGTCTGACCCAGTATTGACGAAATGTAATAAGAAACGAACAGAACAAAACGAGCGTCCCTGACCCTTCTGTGCGACCTACCTACAGTTGGGCTCGTGACGCCTTGTTCCAAAAAACCCTTGCACCATTTTAACAGCCGCACACCACGTGTCAGTAATTTTAGTCTGACCCAATTGACGAAAGGTAATAAGAAACCAACAGAACAAAACGAACGTCCTTGCGCTTTCTGTTCGACGTACCGTTTTACCTGTGACGTCTTGGTCTCAAGACAAAAAAAGTCCTTGCACAGCCGATTTAACCACAGCAGCACACCACGTATCGCCATATTGACGAAAGGTAATAAGAAACGAACAGAACCAAACGAGCGTCCTTGACTTGTGATTCAGGACGAAATTGCTTGTACCAATTTTAACACCCACACACCACGTGTCACCATGCATCAGTAAAATTAGTCTGACCCAAATGATACATATAAAAAAACGAACAGAACAGAACTAGCGCCATTGAGCCTTCTGTTGTGCGACGTACAGTTGGGCTTGTGATGTCTTGTTCTCAGCACAAAAACTCCGAGGCGTACGAAAAGCAAAACCTGTAACTCATTATTTTACGTCGTGAGAGGCTATTCTGTATTCTGCTGCTTGACATACACTGTCAGGATTTGCTGCGCCATTTTCCAGACATAGAATTCGAACCTACTTCAAACGACAGACATGAAGCGGTTCGACTGCTGGCTGTTCCTGGTGGTCTGTTCTGTTCTCGGCGGCGAAGCAGCGACAGACATCCACTCGTTCTGCTCCAAGACTTTATCACAACCCTGGGACACGTGCGTGCCCGACAACGTCAAGGTTCGTGACATTGCAAATCACACTATTACTTGCCTCTGTATGTCTTGCAGGCTTGGAGTCCGGGAAGACCGGCGTGTCTGTGCCCCACTATCTAAGTACGGAAGCTTCCCGCCTGCCCAGTGGGTCGCCCTCCGAGGATTTCCCTTTGGAAACCTGTCCTCGCAAACCCTGAGTAAGATCGAGCCGTCTTCCCTGACGGTCCTTGTTCTTATAGATGCAGGAATAAGCTCGATCGAAAACAAGACATTTGCTAGATTCTCACACTTGCGGTCAATACATTTAGATTTTAACGCTTTGCCGCAGCTGACACGTGCTTGCTTCTCTGGCTTGAACACTTCACAGAAGTCTCCAGCCTACTTGTCCATTTCTCATAACCGTATTTCTGAACTAGAAAATGTCTGTTTCCAAGAAATCTCATATCTTACAATGCTGGATTTGTCTCACAATCTTCTGTCAGAAGTAACGAGTGGATGGCTCCGTGGCCTTGCCTTCCTGCACACACTGATTCTGAGTCACAACAAGATTAAAGTCGTTTCCTTAGATTCTCTTCACGACTTACGAGTCCTGAACTTAAGCCACAACCCTCTGACGTGTCTAAGTGAGAGAACACTTTCTGCGCCGTCACTCAAAACATTCAGCGTCGGGGGAGAGCGTGTCATTTCCTGGGAGCAAGATAGCAAAATGGTCTGGAGTCTTACCGTTGACAAAACTGGTTTTCCGCTGAAACAGAAGGTTCGCATTCGAATTGATAACATCGGTTTTTGCCTCACGTATTCAACAGTGACAAAACACTTTCAAGTGAAGTGGGCGAGGGCACTCTCGTCGGTTACGTTCGGGCCTGTTACATTCAAGCCCCCGGTTGTTTTAATAATTGTTTGGGACAAAACTGCGATCCACGAGCGAGTAAGTTTGTATACTGACCCGTGTACAGAAGCCTGGAGCAGACCAGACGGGATAACTTTAGCCCTGAAAGACGGCGTGACCCTAAAGCTTGCAGAGATGTCTAAACACAACAGATGCTCTGGTATTGCCTTGGCGTTTAGCTATGTGAGCAATCAGCGCTTGAAGAACAGGCAGACGCCAACCGACCAAATCAGCGCTATAGGACAGTCCAGAATGACAAATATTTCTTGCTTTGTGTTTCGTCATTTTTATCTTTTCGGTGAGCCGATACGTTTTAGTGCAGTGGACAGAATGGCCAGCTCAAAATGTCCTTATTCATATTCAACAGACGCACACGTACAAACTGTAACTAATCAGGCCACTAACTCTGCTACTGAAGAACACTTTAGAAGCACTACTGTAACTGTGACAACAACATCCCCAACTTCAAAACACGCGGTAGTTCAATACGTCATACCACTGGCCCTTTCGTCTGTAGTCTTAGTTCTAAGCTTGGTGATAGTCTACGCGTACATGAGTATATATACCAAACGCGCCGCTCAAAATGTAAGAGATTCTACAAAACAGTCGCGCGTTACCCGGTCCAGTATCACTGCACAGAATCGTGTAAGTGATACGAGGTTACCAGGATCTGGTCTAGGTCGGGATGATGACTTTTCACCAGTTTCCGCCAACGTTTTCTCCGAAATTAAAGACGAGGACGTCTACGACCCATCTGTGACCCACACCTACTCGGAAATCAAGGACGAAGGGGTCGGTGATATTTCCGACCAGGGTGCAAGAAAAGCCGGAAACAACGAACAGAACGCTGCTCAAAATATACAAATTGCCTCGGCATTGGTGCACCGTAGTCATCATGTTGTCGATGTAACGCAACTTATTAGCAACCCCATGTATAAAGCATCGGACCAAGCTTTGGCTACATCCTCGGGTGGTACTGACTTGACCGACCAAAGCACTAATTCTCGTTCTTCTATGCTCTCCACTAACAGCTACTCAGAAGTAAACGACGAGGACGTCTACGACCAATCTGTGACTCACAGCTACTCGGAAATCAAGGACGAAGAGGTCTGTGATATGTCCGACCGGGGTGCAAGAAAAGCCGGAAACAACGAACAGAACAACGCTGCTCAAAACAGACAAGTTGCCTCGGCATTGGTGCACCGTAGTCACCACGTCATCGATGCAACGCAGCTTATTAGCAATCCCATGTATAAAGCATCGGACCAAGCTTTGGCTACATCCTCGGGTGGTACTGACTTGACCGAAAAAAGCAATCATTCTCGTTCTTCTATGCTTTCCACTAACAGCTACTCAGAAGTAAAGGACGAGGACGTCTACGATCCATCTGTGACTCACAGCTACTCCGAAATCAAAGACGAAAAGATCTGTGATATTTCAGGCCAGGGTGCAACAGCCGGGAACAACGAACAGAACAGCGCTGCTCAAAAGATACAAGTTGCCTCGGCATTGGTGCACCGTAGTCATCATGTTGTCGATGAAACGCAGCTTATTAGCAATCCCATGTATAATACATCGGACCAAGCTTTGACACAAGCCTCAGGTGGTACTGACTTGACCGAACAAACCACCAACTGTCGTTCTTCTATGCTCTCCACTGACGACTACTCCGAAGTAAAGGACGAAGACGTTTATGATCCGTCTACAACTCACAGCTACTCCGAAATCAAAGATGAGTAGGTCACTGATATTTCCATCAAACACTTTCTAACTCTATAAACACCTTCAGATGTTCACTTACACTAGCGACAGGGCAGTCAGAACAACACGCCAGAGTGTGACAAACCAGTTGCATGTACCAATGGTCTGTAGAGAGCTATACAGGAAATTTGATAGCGTATTCAGGTGCAATGACATGGAATAATCTACCACGTAATGTAAGAAAAGCACCCTGAGTAGCAGCCTATAAAAATATGTTCCAATACTGCCTGCATATCCTACTGATATATATATACATATATATATACATATATACATACATATATATATATATATATATATATATATA